TTTCGTCATGCTTATTATAAAATATATGTGTACGCACACATAAAAGTACAATATATTTTCACGCTTATTATCATCAAATAATTAATAAATACATTAATAAATACATTTCTTCATTATTATCGCTTCTTTATCATGGCATAAATAATTTAAAATATATATTTATCATCTCATGTGTAAAATAAGCATATAACTTAATAATCATTATTCTACATTATTTGAATTACCTCATTAAATAAACAATAAGCTTTACATAGAGATGTAAAGTCGGAATAAAAATAATATATAAATATTATCTTTTTAAATTTTCGAAAGAATACATCTAAAAAAAAGTCAGATACATTATTCAGACGAAACATATGTGAGGACAGTCAGAAAAAAATTACATCCATTATACGAACCATGCGTAGGTTAAAAACGATAAAATGAAATCTCTACATTATTTCGCATCGTAACTTTTATCGAAAAGTTTAAAAACTCATCCCGAGCGAACTATAGGGATATGAATCAAGAGGCGCATTTAAGCTCTCCTGTAAGAAATTTTTACAGATTTAAGCGACTTTCATTAGCGCATCCGAACCTATTTAACCTCTATTAAACCTATCTAATTATAACTTGTTAATTAGTGAGTTCTCCGACGTTTCAATAATGATATTTAATCGAAGACATTTTCATTTTTTAACACACTTGCATTCCCATATTTTTTATTGGCAATTGTGCGCGATTTAAAAACTCGTGTTCATCTCAGCGCGAATTTATAGGCGCCAAGCTCGCCCTACAAAGAGTCGCTTCACCAGAAATCCCAACTCGCTTTCTCATCCCTTATTCACCTGCGGTCGAGCGTACTCTTTCTTCGAGCTGGAAGCGTGTATAGCCACGAGGGGGTAGTTCCCTGGAATATCGCACGGACGACCATGGCACCTAGAAAAGCAGGGGAAGCGGGCACGCTTATTACGTGCACTGGAAGCAAATGAGAAGCTATCGCTGCACCTCCAAATCGGATTCTCATTAAAGTCCTAGTTTCAACGGAAATCGCGTTTTATTGGATCTTTGATTGACGAGATTACCGTTGGAATGCAAGCGTCGATACCAAACGCGAATCTAATCACCTCTAACCACGATCACACAATAATCCTTTTATTGATATTTTTGCATTCATCTATACGCAAATATATATATATATATATATATATATATATATATATATTTGTGGGTGTACACTGGGAAAAATCTAGTTACATTTAGGAATCTGATTCAACCAGTATGTTTGTTGGAAAATGGACGAATCAAAATTTTTTTTAAAATTACCAGAGTATGATTAATTTTTTTCTGAAAATTTACCAAATTTTTTCTTGATAATAATTTATCAAATTTACCAAATTTACCAAATTTTTTCTTGATAATAATACTAAAATTAAAAAAAAAATGGCATCACTGTCCCCATATAGTTAATATAATAAAAAGTTTTATAGATTCAACTAGAAAATACTAATCAAAGTTGTAAAAATTTCTAGTTGTAAAAAAATCGAATCTTATCGTGATAACTAGAAATTCTGCTTGATTTAATCAAAATGCCTTCTATCACATACATCTTGTTGGTACAATCAAACAATTTTTCTCAATGTATCTTTTCTTTTTCATTAAATTATTATAGCTTTCGACTTTTTTTTTAGCAACATGTGTATGTTTCGTAAAAGGCATAAATTATTTAATGAAAAAGTACGATTAAATTCTAATTTGATAACTACATTTATTCTAATAAATCCGGAACTGAATTTGCATCAAACCATTAATACTTCCGCAATTTAGTACCTTAAAAGTTTGGACATTTAATTTGCGAATAGCTCAAGAACAATACGATGCGATGTAATAACAACGTCGGCATTTGTCATTACCTTTTAGTTAGATTGGAGTTAAGAAATCATCCTCTACTGTCATAACCGATGAGTAAATTACCCTCTCCGTCGCAATGCGCCATTATTTCGCTGGGATAGTAAAAATTAATCGGCTTAAGCATCGAATTGCATCAGGGAAATAAAAAACGAAGCATGCTCGTCTTTCCTCGTAAAGAAATTAATTCTTTTATTAACTTAATTATGCGTTTGATTTAACTCAAAATATCTATCAAAGTGACACTTATGTACGCTTCAATCTCGATTGCATAGTCAGACTAGCAATTGTTATTCAAAATAAATAGAAAAGAAATTTGAAAACTAAATAATATTTTTGCAATTTTGTAATTGTTGAACTTTTGAATCCACATTATTTCTTCCAGTGAATTTACATTTTGCGTTAATATTGTATAATAATGAGAAATCTGATAGATAAAATTGGTTTATATGAATTTAATATATATATATATATATATATATATATATATATATATATATATATATTTTTTTTTATGAATTGTTATTAAGTTGGTAATCCGTGATAAAAGTAAAGTATTGATACAGTCTCGTAGAGAAATTAATTACAATCTATCGCTCGAATTAAAATATATTTAAAACTGGTAATGCCGGATTTATAAATTATAACATGTTTATTGACATCTCGCCCAATATTTCCTAACAATAAGCGTAAAGCTGATAAATTGCACTTTAAATAATATTGAGTGCTGGATGAAACAATGAAAATTCGCAAATGAACGTTTTATGGGTTATACGCAAATTTAATGTCATATCACGTACAGCTTCACTAAATAATGCCAACTAACAACATAAAACGATATATCGATCGAACATAAATAATATGCATACAAATATGTCGACCGTGCGTAATGTTTGTGTACGTGAATGACTCGAAACTGAGGAGAGTAATTCCACACATGGAATGCATGTGCATAAATATGCATCGAGCTATAGGTATATTCCTCACTCGTATCATTCGCGAAACCGACGTATCGATAACGCGTGCCTGTTAATTAACCTTCATATAGCTCATATATTCACTCATACATTAGCCCCGATGTAATTTTCTGCGCAAAGACATCAAAGTGAAATTAAAAAACAAAAAAGGAAAATATATACTTATAAATTCCATTCATACGGGATATCGCGTATGAAAAATGCATTTATAGCGCAAAGTAAATAAAAAAAAAATATTTACTTTGTTTCGAGTTTTGTATCGCTTCAAATTTTGGACTCGTTGTCAAACAAATACGTAATAATATACGTAATATCGAGAGAGATCTATTTATAACGAATGGCAACGGTATAATGCACCGGCCGTACTTAGCCGTGCCGGGAGCATCGATCAGACCGATCCGCAATCCGATGGCTCGTAAAGCGTATAGAGTTCATATATTTCGTTGTCTCGAAGGCGAGAGGGGGCGGAGGGGAAGGCGCCGGCAAAGGGTGAGCGCTTTTCGTGTTACGACATCCAGCTGCAGTCTGAGAAAAATGACCCGTCTCGTAGTTTCTCCCTCTTCTCGTAACGAAAAATCCGGCGTCCCCGACGATATATCAGATCGCGTCGCGTCTAAAACCGATGGTGCAACTTTTGTCCAATAACGCGATACGTAAACGTCCGTATATACACGGCAAGCGCGAAACCCAAGTCCGGAGTGGATAGATATATTTGCGCGATACCAGGGGAAACCTCTCTCTCTCTCTCCCTCCTCCCCCTCCCCCTTCCCCGCGCTCTATCCTTTTGACTCCGATCTCTACGCTAGAACAGTCAGTGACATTATTCTTTCGCGAATTGCCGATGCGTTTTAAAAGTGGCTCTTTGTCGTAACCAGAATCGCCAACGAACACTTGCGCGATTCTAGGTGCAAAACATCATATATAATATCGAGATAGGTTCGAACAAACAGGCTCTGGTTTGTCTGGTGGTCAGTCCTAAATCGAAAAAAGCGTCGCGTACACGTTATGTCTCTTCGCTTGAAAAATTTGGAGCAACTTTTTCATCTCTCTTAAATGCTTTCAAATATTAAAATCAAAAGGAACTTTTCATATATCGTACCGTCATGTCGTAGTAACGAACAGAATATGTATATTCATGTATGGCACGTGTAAACATTTTATTGGCATATACAGTGATATTGATATATACGTCGCCGTCGTGATATCACTGTTTGACGGAATTTACATCGTATAATTAAATTAGTTTCACCAGAGAGAGTCATAATAATTCGATCTTGTGGTATGTTTTTCTAGGCCAATTTTTTTCATAGACTTAAATTTAAAGATGACTAGTATAGAATGAGAATGGTATTGCAGACTGCAATATTTTATAACACACATACGATTCTTGCGAACGTCACTATGTTAGAAGGAAGGGCGACCCTGTGGGACACCGGTACATGCTGCAAAAACCTATAATACGGCGCGCACATCAAGGTTTTTTCTCTTTTCTCCTATTGCCTCGTATAAGGTTCGGAAGGGAAAATGATATAGGTTAAAAATACGTGAGCGAAATATTTTACGCGCGTCCCCGCGGCCAGTCGGAAATACGGAGTATCGCCGCGAGTTCCTATTCTCGAACGAAACCGACAGACCCCAGGCTGGAAGGGAAAAAGATCGACTCTGGAAGCTATATCGCGTTTTTACAAAGAATTCTACGATAGATATATGGCCTGTATCAGGAGTCACGTGCGTGTTACACGGAAAGATATAGAATTGCGTTTTTGGATTCTGTTAGATAACACGATTAAAAAGACCAGAGAATGGCCGAATTATTTTAGGCGACTCGTATAAAAATTGCCGATTGTGAAAATTGGATTAAAACAATCCCATCTTTTTCTTTTTCCTGAAATGAAAAATTTCTTCCGTCAACATTTCGTTCTCATACATGACACTATTCGCGATAAAACATAAGCTAAGGATAACACGGTGCAAGAACGTTGTAAAGAACAACACTCGGACAAATTTTGTGACGAATTTAGAATAAAAATACAGCGATGCAAAAGAGCCTTTAGGAGAGGAATAAGCGCGACGATAGGACAAAATGCGAAGAGCCATACTTTTACAGCTTTTCATAATGTGAAGAACATATGGCACTTATGGCGGCTGTCGTTCCTTTAGAGTACTGACTTTTACTTTATTCTTCGACGTTTTGGTATTCCGCCCACGCGTGCCAAAATCACCAAGTGATAAAAACTTGAATGAGAAACGAGTGCAACGAACCTGAGACATCGTGATATTTAGGAATCTTTTTCGTTATAAGGAAAAAAGAGAGACAAGAGAAACTCGATTTAAGTAAACGGGAAGTTGGATTTTTTATGCCATTTTATCCGCGAACGAAAAATTGAAAGATAGATATATATTTTATTTTTATTAAACTTCAATAGGAACATTTCGACAATTTTTTGCAGTTCTATTACTGTTGATAAGTTCATTTTTTTTCTAGACATACTCGTGACTTTTCTTCAATATTCTCGTCGTCGACACGATTCTTTATTAATGAATAACACGAGCCAGCAACATTTCGAAAGTACGGCACAATAATCCGTTTCCTCATGCACTGTTTATACCACTTATATTCCTCCTTCATCGAGCCCCTTTGTACAAGTAACTCCGCAAGACGGCTCGACTGCCGAGGTGCTTTCGTGCTCACTTTAATGAGCTTACCCTGAAGGCTTCTGACGTACGTCTTGACGTCGATGCTTCCCTTAACGCCGAGAGCCAGCTCTCGTAGGCTGCGCTCCGAACTCCCGTAATCATTTTCAACTTCGCAGGGTCGACTGCTTCCAGTCGCGCAAAATAGCCGGCATTTGTCACCATCACGGAACACCTGGGTGGAACAAGAAGAAGAAGAAGCGTAATCGGAGAAAATGGGCAACCTCGGGCATAATATCCCCGAATAATGTGAGAATTTCAACGAAATCAACCATCGGGTTTGCAAAAACAATTAACAGAATTAAATTAAATTGAGATATGTATGCGCGTATAACTTTGTGCCTCTGCATAATTAAGCTTGATTAATAACTCTTGCAATGCTTTTAGTTATTACCGAAATATAATTTTAGTAATACGTGTACGATAAATTCGTTATTCGATATTTGAATATTTAATAGCGAGTTTTAACGAATTCGTAATATTAAATCTGTTTGCTTACAGATAACCAATAGCGTCCCATAGCTCTCTGCATATCGATCAGGGCGTTTCTATCTGCCTCTTTAATGCCGAAGAAAATGCGCACTCGCAATAACTTGGGCAACGGCTGCTCATTTCGCTTTGCTAAAACTTCGCTCTGGATTCTTTCAGAAACTCTCTGATCTCTTTTGCCAAAGGGGAACAGCCAGTTGTACGGAAATGAATAAGTACTCCGCGGTAATTCAGTTTCGTCGTAACCCGTTCGCTTGTCAGATCTGATCTGCGCACATTTTTTACCGTTTAATTTACCAACCCTTGCGACGATTAAAATTGCTACAAATTTATATTTCGATTATGAATTAACGGGAGTGATTTTAAGATATAATATTTTAATCGTTGGAAAATTATCGTTACGTATTTTTTTTTATAAAGCTGTGTGATGAAGAATTATAAGATCTGATTGATCGTAATATAATCTATCATGAATTGTATGAAAGAAAATCAGGCGTATTATTATGTGCTGTCGTGATTATCCAACCCGATATTGACAGGACCCCGATATTTCCTTTGATCCCGACTCTGGTTCCATTGGCACAAATGTAATCAAGCGACGAAGTTCCGGTCGACGTGAAATTGGATACTGGATCACGCTCGTCTCGTCGGCGAAGACGGCTGCCAGTTCCCGCTCGCGTCTAACCGATCGATGAAGATACTCGCAAGCTGTCAGATCGCGATTCATCGCAAAAATTCTGTATTGACTTCTCGCAGGAAACTTGAGCATTTCGCAATATCGTCCGTGTTTGCGATGGATTCTTGTCCTCGGGTTGGCGTCCTCTCCCCGGCTACCTCCTTCCTCCTCGCCGTTGCCCTCGCGCCTTCTGTACGGCCGACGATAACTCGCGGTACCATCGCTTTTAACCTCGAGCACATCCCCAAGAATCCCGATAGCCGTGAGAATCGTTTGCGAGTCGGCGTCAGACGATTTCCGAAACTTATAAGTCGATATCGACCTTCTGCCACAGGTAGCACATATCTTGGAGAGTGTCACGTCGTCGCGAACCTAACGATATCGCGAAATCATTTTACGAAGGAAAAAAGGAGGGAAGACGCGTCGGTGGGAAAACTTTAGCTCGTACCGATAAAATTTTAGCCATTCTCTTCAAATATTCGATAAACGCTCGCGAGAAACTCGATAATTACACGTCATAGTTACCGCTGATATCAATACATCTACGTTATCGAATACGCGCGACTTCGATTACCTTCAGATTAACTTGGTCCCCCATTGAAACTTCGTAATGACCTTCTCCCGACATGCTGACGCAAAGATTGTCGGGCATCGATAAAGTACAGCCAACCGCTGACTGATCGTAAGACACGGTGGTGTAATCCTTGTGTTCCACGCGGAAAGTCAACAAGATCGAGACAAAACCGTCCGCGATCGATACTCTTGTCAGTTTCTCCCGGTAATCAACGTGCTGCGAGGGCGGGAATGTGCCATCGGTGGACGAGGCAACGTTAATTCGGCCATCGTATCGGAAATATCGCTGCAACTCGTTCTCCGACCACTCGCAAATCACTGGTCGCTCCTCAATCGTGTAACCGGTAATGATGCGCGTGCCGTCTAAAGAAGAAGTATCGATGACACAAACCGGGATTGAAAGACGTATTAATTTTACCACGTGTATCTCGAGACACACGTTGATTACACGTATACGGTACCGGCAAAGATAACCATCAATTCTCCGTTCGAACGAAGCAACATATCAGTACCATCAGCGCGGCGTGTGAATACCTCGTTGACCTCGTAGTCCGACGTGGTCCTAACGAGCAATCGATCGTGCTCACTTACAACCAGATCGTTCAACACTTCGTAGTGTCTGCCGTCGTAATTTACTACGGAGTATCGTAACACTTTATTCGTTCCTATTATCAGCGAGACGTCTCCGCCCTAAAAGAACAAAGGTGTGAAAAATAATTCCTCCCTTTGAGTGGATATTAGATATTGCTTTGCCCCGCGAGCGCGATTTTCTTTGTGAAATTAACAAGATTTTTCTCTAGAATTTTTATGAAATTTATCGAAATGATAAATAAAGATAGAAGCTGTGTACGAGGCAAAGAGAACTATCTTTAAAATCTCAATTATATCAAATCGTTCCAAACGCTTTCGTATCTCAATTAGATCAAAACTTAACGGTCGCGCGTTTCTCGGACGGCAATATATGTTGTTTCGGTGGTTGCTCGTCCACGATCGATCCGTTTGAACGCGACTCTGTGGAACCTATGACTTTTTCTCTGCCGCTGGCTGCCACCGAGTTGCTCTTTTTATTCCAAAATTCTGCAGAGGAGAAATGCTCAATTTATCTAAAAAAAAAATTTTTTCTCGTTTCCTCCGCGCGTTTTACTATGTACCTTTTAGGGTCGTCTGGTGAATGGATTCGTCGTACGATTGTGACTTGTCGAAATCCATGCACGTCACGATGACGCTATTGGGACGAAGGATGACGACAGTATTGTCGTCCATGTACTTTAAGACGGTTCCGTTCCTGAGAATGTTCCGGCAGACTTCATGAGCTGCACTTGCGCGCCCAAGACGTTTCGAAACGTACGATTGACGAATGCAAAACGGATCTTTTGTGCCGTCCCCGATAGCTGGTTCTATCAATAACCCGGAAGGCCACGAAGCACGAAAGTCGAAGGCCCGCGAATGATAATCGAACGAGCTCTCAACTGCGTCTAAAACACAGAAAAGGAATTATTCGACAGCGAGATTTAGTTTCTTTATAATTATATTACTCTTTGATAAGAGTTAATATGTACACAGTAAAAAATTGTGCGTTCATATGTTAAAATTTTCTTGTGTTACCACATTTTGATTAGTACTTCAATGTAAAATTAACATACAATCTATATGTTATTATTTTTAGAACATTTTCATGTGTTACATTTATGTCAACTTTATAACTTGACACTTTGTCACATGTCTTTTAGAAATAAAATATTATTTTGTGTATTTTTAACATTTTAAATAATTAACGTCTCAAAATCAGTTTAATATTCTAAGAAAAGTTAAAGCGAATCTTTAAATAATCTTGAACTTTGGCATACAAAAATAATCAAATTTACTGAAATTAAATTTCTGTTACAAATAATTCAAATTAAAATAATTACTATCATATGTTAATGTCCTCAACATTTCTTACGAGTTATTGTAACTATTTTTCGTGTAATTTTTAATTAATTTGTATGTTATTTTTACATTACACTTAAAGTCACAATAACAAGAATAAATGTAAAGTATCGTGTCAATTATTTAACATTTTTAGTTTGTCAATAAATAACATACGACGAATGAGTTATTTTAACTTCAAATTTAAAGTGGACTTTCTGGATGTGAAAAATGTTATAATTAACATTTTATTTTTTACTGTGTATTTAATATCTTTTTAGAACGCAATATAAATTACGTACCGAAATCCTTTTCTTTATTTCGACAGAAACCTAGTATAATTCCTCCCTCCGTAGTTAAGTGAAATGTGTCCGCCGATTGACGGCGACCATCTCGGCTACACAATCGTAAAGTACAGTGTTGTAGAGCAATGGCGACGCGTATATCGAAGGCTCCGTGAAGCCAGTCCTCGATTTCGACTCGCACCGTTACATCGTCCAAAAGAAACTTTTTGCTATGATGAATTACTTGAACGCGAAGACGACTACCGAGATCGTATCCGACGAAGTCGTATATTCCGTCTTTTTCAACGCTTCGAGATGATAGAATTTTTTCCGTCAATAAGAAGGACGTATCGACATCATCTGTTCTATTCGTGCTCGATTTTTTCTTCATCAACGACGTTTTTCCACTCATAACTCTTCCATCCGCCTGTTTGCTTCCGTTGTCCGTCGTCGGCGTCCCGTTTAGTTTCTGTCCCGTTATTTTCCTCCCCTCAACGTCCTCCCCCGTCGCTTCCTCGGATTCCTCCGTTTCGCAAATTTTCTTTCGCAAATCGCGATCCGGACTTTCCTTCAGATAGCGCGCTTTCAACGAATCCGGAAGCACGAAGCACTCGTCGGCGAATATGATCGCGTCGTCTTCCACCTCGATAGGTCTCTTCATAAATCTTCCTGTCAGGTCCATCCTACGCGATTGGCGTGTCTCCTGTTCCCGTTCTATCCAATTCTCTTCCTCTTTCGCGATATATTCGCAGAATTCTCGAAGCCCGATGGGCGTATGTATAGACGATATACGCGTTTCCTCGGACACGTCACCCACCCGATTGTTGTTGCTAAAGTAAAGGAGCATCGAATCCGTCGGCTCAAAGTATCTCTCGGCGAGACGATCGAAACGTTGGAAACATTCGTAAATGACCTGAAGAAAAACACGGCTTGAGAGCAACTCGACGTCTTCGTATTCTTCGAGACTCGATCTTTCGTAACATCTCCTCTTAAAGACATTTTCATGCAAATATCCTGGAAGCAGAGTTTCTCTAGTATCTGTTAGCGCAAATAAAAGCGGACACTCGGTGAATGCGATTATCGGCTTATCATAATCAATTTCGGAATCGCTCTTGAAACGGCGTAGACTAGATACAGTCAGCGAAGACAAGGCAGTAAGATTTGATGCGCTATGAGTTCTCTTAATCGTCGATCGTGCGTGTTTTAATTTCGACAAATCTTCTTTCAACGGTTGCACCAATTCTGTTCTTGCACCATAATTGTCTTCGGAAAAAATCAATTTGTCAAACATCAATAGATGTAGGTAATGAGCAACTTCTTCGCGACTGATCGTTCGCTCTAGATTAAATATACGCGCGATATTATTTATATGACAGGAATACATATCGCTTTTGGACTTAGTTAATATCTGGCGACTCTGCCAAGTATTAATTATTCTCGGATCCCTCAAAACGCGAAGAACCGCATCGTCTAAATCAATTCTTCGATCGAGGAAATGACGAACGATCATGCTCAAAGTGTCTCTGTACGGTATAACTTCGAGATTAGAAGGCAGTGATGATTGACTGGAATTATCAGCGTATTCATCGATAAGTTCGTACTCAAGATCAAGCAGTCTGAGCCTGTCTCGCACAGCGAATACGGGGATTCGTTCATCTGTCGTTGATGTATTCGCGTGCCCCGTATCGGCATCGCTAAATCCCGCATTACACTCGACGAGGACGCATCCATCGTCGTAAGATCTCGCAAGATTAGATTCAACCTGCAAAAGTATCGCGCCCAATATCAATGGTACGTTGATATATTCGTTAGGTATATCACTTAACGCGTTCTCGTAGATCTTCGTATCCATTGTTCCATCTCTCTTATCAACGATCCCCTTTTCCAGCTTCATGCTTTTCAAATACTTCGCGTGTTGTCGATAAAGATCATACAAATGATACAAAGTGCGAAGTGCTCTATCATGTATGTCCCGTTTTAGAAACTTTTTCTCGGTGATATTTAAAGTTTCTGGTAGGGCTGCGGGAGAAAGGGTGAGACTGGCTATGTCGGAATATATCGGATACACGGATAGATTAGCGAATCTCTCGCGTGTAATCGTCCAAAATTCGTCCAGCTTATTCACGTCGATACGATAGTCCTCGGAAAAACGCGTCTTATCATGGGAAATGAAATCTTGTTCCTTCGTCTCGTGATACGCGACATATTGTTCACCGGGAAGCTTAATCTCTAACATGCAGACCAGAGGAATCCCGATGTTTAACAATTCTGCTGGTAAATCGGGATCGTGAAACCCGCTAAGCACAACATAGAGACTCGGTCCTTTATAAGGTACGTCATCCACATGTGAACGCGCATTGACTTTGCCGTTGAATGCATATTCAATGTCGTCATTGTGGGCTCTGCGGAACCTGGTAGTGTTTTGCGAAGAAGCTGAATAATTAAATTAATGCTATTATATGCAAATTTGTATCGCGATACAAGTAAATAAAAAGAGCAATTGATCGTTATTTAAATATCTAAGATTGCAGTTTATTGGACAGAAAATAATATAGTAATTTAACGTATTTATTGCCAAATACGGTTATTATTGGTTATTATTGTTGGAAACTCATCATATTATTGTTCTGGGAAAAGAAACGACCAACATATGTCATTTACTTGAGCCGGCAATATTCGGAATTGCCCGATATTCTTCGTCGATTTCGCGGTCTAGATCCTGTACCTCAAGTCTCCCGATTTGCTCGATTTTGGCGCGATAAATCAGATACTTTATGATCCGTGCAATGAGCCAGGTGGACAGATGGCCATTGTTTTCGTTTAAGACCGTGTTCGCGTAATGACAGATACCCATAATGGCAGAACATTTCTCTGGATCTTGTTTCGACAGCGTTTTCACCGTGTCTATTGCTTTCTGATGGCTGAGGGAATAAATACACGTCTGCTCCCTCTCTTCAACGGCTTCGTTGAAGAGAGAGACGTAGCAGCTGTGCTCGACAATTGTCTCTACCATCATCGTTGTTATACACCACCAACGATCATCGTTGATGAAAATGGAGTCCAACGCGACACGCCAATCATCCTTGTTTTGTATTTTCTGAGTTTTATTATGAATGTTAGATTTTTTAGATTTGTTTTTCATATGAAGGTTATTTTATACATAATCAATGTCTGAAAGTATATGATATGATTAATTATATCACATCAATAGATTATCGAACAAATGAATACAAAATAGCGGTAATTATGATATAAAATATGACATCATGACAATAATTTATTTTTATCAAAATGCATCATATTATGAATTTATCAGATCTTAGTAACTGGGCCAATCGAATTCAATAGGCTTAATTAATAATTTGAGTCTCAATTATATATATAAAAAATATCTTTATTTTATTTAGTCTATAAAAGAAGATATTATAGTACATAAAAGAAGATATTATAGATATTATAGTAAATTTTTAATAAAATAAAAATTGAAATCATTTAAGAGAGATCTCGGGCGTCGTCTTTATTGTCATAATCGCCTTTTCTATTACGTACACGTGTCCTCTTTTATTGTAGTGGTAGTAAATTTATTAAAGCGTATATAGTATTTGACTTTTATGGCGTACAGTTGTTGTTATTGTTATTACAGGCGCTTAGCGTGTTATCCTTTACTCAGTGACACTCGAGCAGTAAAATAGTGATGCGCGAGACACTCCGTATATTGTTAAATCCCTTTTAAAAACGCCATCATGGCAAGTATCGGGATAATTAATAATTGTTAATTTTCGATAAATGACTGAACTTTATCGCGACAACGGCTGTTTATCAAAGTGTATATTTCTTGCGATTTATTTTTATTTATTTATCATTTCAACTAAAAATTAAAGAAATAAGATAAATATTATAAATCGTCGTTTCTTTATGATGTTTACAATCGATAATTATTTCTCTAACGATACTTCTCAAATATATTTCGAAACTTCAAATTGTTTGCCAATCTATAATTTGTTATTTGGATTAAAAACGAATAGACACGAATAAAAAATCGAATAATTAATTTTACGAAAGGTTTTGATATATCAGTCATTTAATTAATACTTAATTTATAATCAAGAAATTAGCATATGTGTGTATGTTAAAGTATATAAAATATTTCGGCAGCAATAATACAATGTTTGATTTTGCAACATATATAGATCGCTAATATTTACATATGTTGATTTTGTTATTTATGCGAAATCTCCCGTCGAATTCCTTTGCTAAATGTGACAAATATCAGAACAAAATTCACAATGATGATTACAATTAATGATTAATTTTCTTTTGATAAATGACACGAAACTTGCGACGATAAATCTTTATCGAAGGACGATTCATTCATTATCGTAAATGAAAATCGAAGCGCCGACAGGGATATAAATTATAAATTGCCGTTTTATTGCAATCTTTCGATTGTCGCTTCTTACAAATAACAATCATTTTTTCACTCTTCGTGTTGCTCTTGTCGTGACATAATAAAGTGCGTATTGTGGCGATTGTTCCACGATTGGGAGTATCATGCAATCTGTCCGACCTTGTTGCGTACTTAATTAATCATTATTAATTTTATTAATTTTATTAATATTATTAATTATCATCATTAATTAATTTTCATCATTAATATTATTAATTATCATTATTAATATTATTTAATTATCATTATCATTATTAATATTATTTATTATCATGTTTAATGTGTGAATGTGAGTCACAAGAAGAAAGCAAAGAATGAGCAAGAGAGAAAAAAAAAAGATTTAGGAAGACAGACGGAGCAACGAAATGTATTGTGAATAATTTATAAATTATTTATCATTTATATGTATATTATTTACAAATTTTATAACATGATATTTGGACATTTGTAACGTACAGTTCCAGCGGCACGAATAGATGTTATAAAGATTCATCGATGGTTCTGTCTTTTTTTAAAAAATGAGTGGAGTAAATCGAGCATTTCACGCTGGGATACCGGTAATGGAAAACGTATTACTAGAGTCGTAAGTTTCGTCAGGAGGGACACAAGCTCCCGACATTATAACACGGATGTGCAGGCTGTACTTAACGACGAAACTCCGTGGAAACTGTAATTTTCGCGCTAGGGCGACGAAAAAGTAGTCGATGGCACGTGTAAAATACAGACGCGCGGTCGAAAAAGTTAAACAAATGGGACATCTGAACACGCTTCTGTGTACATGACACAGACTTACGCATATGACTATTTTCCCGCGCATGTATGTCTCAGATGCAGTTTACGAGGCATGCATAACGCGATGATGACTGAATATTACATGTATTAATCTTACCAAATTTATTATCATAATGTATAAAGTATTTAATTATTAATGTATATTTTTAAATTTCAAAAACACGAGTTAAGATTCTTAGAGATCTTGTTCTTCAACTAGTATTAAGTTTACACAAAAATGTGATTTAATTACATTTCTAGAAATATATAAATGCATTATTCTTGGAACTTTATAAAGAATAAAAACACACAAGTTAAGATGATTTCATTCGTAAAAATAGGAGAAAAAATTACAGAAAAAAGACGGCAGCTTAAAAATATTATTATAAACATCTATATAATGGATTAAGAACTGCTATTGTGAATAATAACAAAATAAGGATCTTATACTCTCTTAAATCTTATATCTTTCTCTAGTTGGTTATCGATATCTTATTCTTATTTTCTTATTTTTTTAGGAGCTATCTTATACTCTTTTAAATCTTATATCTTTCCCTAGTTGATTATCGATATCCTGTTCTTATTTTTTTTTTATTTTTTTAGAAGCTATATCAATCTCGACTGACCATTTAAACGGTCAAGATGGCTCGTTAACCAAAAATTATTTTCTCACACATGCTAACACATTTCTCCACACATTCAATTTCATTGTCGCTCTGTTAAATTCATTACGTTTACAGGAAGTTTGCGCGAGGACGGTATGTGGAACGCGTATAGAGCGACTTTAATTAAATTTGATAATGGAAAAGTTTATTGAGAGCTGCAAAACCAGGGGCGACCAGAGGGAATGAGGGAAGATGATACGCTAATTGGCCAACAGTTTAGCGTCCAAGCTAGCGCGCAAGTATGTCATAACAAAAAAGCGCTACTATCTATCCTGTTATATTTCAAAACAGCCCGCGTACGTTCGCCGAAAGATTTGATTTTAATTAAATCATAATGTAGTTTTGTCGGGTGCATAGCTTCATGCGCGAAGCCGCGACTCCAGGAGCCGACCTCTTCATCGAGCGCGCTAAAAGCACGTCGTTATCTCAGTTTAGTTCCAGCCGTACTATTTTCGGAGAGGCGTCGAAACAACGAGGCGCATCGCAATAATGACCGAGGTACTCGTAGTATCATTCGCCACATTTAGTCGTTTTAATAAACAAATTTTTATGAATTGTTTCTAGAAAACACGCACAAAGAAAAATATAATTACATTGTGACGTATATTATAAATGAAAATGAGAATTAATTTTTTCGCTTCATTTTCACAATATTATATATATTTTTTAATTACATTTTGTTCTGTAAAAAGAAATTTCTATTTTATAACTGTATTAAATTGCAATTAATATCATTTTTTGAAAAATAATTTTCTATCCACATATATATTAAGTAAATTAATTAAATAACGCATATTTCGCATATAATTTTACTTTTTGAAAAATTAATTGTACATTCAAACTAGCATACGTGTCATATATATATATATATATATATATATATATATATATATATATATATATATATATATATATATATGAAAACAATTATGAAAATAAATATTTACACAAGATGGTGGGCCGCAGATTACTGCTGTGCGAAAATATTTCATTTTCCCGTAATGCGGTCGAACGCATGCATATATTTTGAGGTAGTGAATATTAATTTCGAGATTATAATAAAATATTAAATTTCGAGGATAGAGATAATATTTCATCAATTTACTTGCCACAATTTAAAAAAATGTATTTAACGATATAGAAAATATTTTATCAGTAATTTCCATATTTTTATTAATTTATACAATGTTATCGTCGAGAGAAAAGCGTGGTGTTAATTAAATATTATACTTAATCGAATTTAAAATAAAATGATGATTATTCCATACCTGCGAAATCTGGAAATTTGCAAAATTTATATGTGTAAAATTATTTTCTGTCGTTTCTGCATCATTGAAAAATTATACTGTCGAAAAGAAACAAAACTTCTTCACTTTTTCGATTTTTGCGAAATATAACGGATCCGTAGAGCAAATAACCGGAAAGGATACGAAATGGAAGCGCAGTTAACGGTCGTGCGAGCAGAAAAATGAGTCGGAATCAAATCAATCAATAAATGCAGCCGTTATTGTATCAGATAAATATCGCGCATTTTCATTTTTATTTTCTACTGCTTATTATAACCTCTGTAAAAACTTTGTACATCTCCTTCTGCGCTTCTCCACCTAAAGGTACGTACTCTTGCTGCATGGAAACACTTCTGACAATTGAGATGCAAAGGAAAAGGATGCGGAATATTTTCCTTGTAGAAGAAGTACCGAAGTAACCAGCAAAGTTCTACTCGAGTTACGAAGAATGAGAAGTATATCTCTCTATATATATAATATATTGGACTAGAAATACAAACAGTCTTTGGCTATTTTGTATGTAATATAATGGATAATTAAAATTGATAAAAAATGTCTTCGAAGAAAAACGATATGACTAATATCACTGTATTATCAAATTATACACACAAACTTGCATCGCTTCTATCTCATAATCATATTTAACCAAACAGTTGCAGCGCTGTAATTTCGATTCTCTTTAGCCTTTGAATGTCTGTATTATCTGTAGCCATAAAATGACTCGTCCATGCAGCAACACTAGAGGGAGATAGTATTGCAATGCTAAAGGGGCAATCTTTATGTCAAATAAATAAACTCAAAATACTCTCAATATTATCATGTTCTGTTATTAAATGATATAATATAATTAAATAATTCAATTAACGTAATGTATTATACTGATGCAGTCTGGCAAATTAATGTATTATTATGAAGCGTTAATATGTATACATGTATATATTCTATATGTATATATTTACTTATTTTAATATTATATAAATAGTTAATTGTGTAATTTGACTGCGTTATTTGATGAATATAGATTAATAACAAATCTCATCTCTAGGAACTTAAACTATTAAAAACTACTGTTTGATATATCGTTAAAAATATCTTTATGTTCTCTATTTTAGCTTTATCTTAACTATATATTCTCAAAGCTAACATCGATAAACCGCAACAGCTGTTTCGATTTCTGTTGCTGTTGTCAGAATTCCTATTCCGTGGTCGCCATACGGTCAATCAGTGGCTTCGACTCACTTGCAAGTGGTGGGCGAACTCTCAAGAGTACATGCCGAGCTTGTTCAAAGTTTGGTTGAAAGACTGTCTTGACTAATAAATAGAACTAAATATGGAATTTTCAAGTATTCCTGGAAACGCGAACTATTGTTAACACGATAAATAAAGTAATATTGTATACAATATACAATATACTTTTACTTATGTGTTACATAATTAATTCAGAATGAATTAAAAAAGAGATGTTGCAGAGATTTGTCATAATTCAATCAATGGAATATCATCCATAATTATTTAAATAAAAATTTCATCTTTAAATGAATTAATGTCAATGGAAGCTTTTTAGATCATAAATTTTTATAAATAAATAATATAAATTATAAGCTTTTTAAGATCATTGCAAGTATATTAAAATTAATTGTTTTTAAAGAAAAAGTTATTAAAAATAAATATAAAATTATTTTATCAAATACTTATGAAATGAAATAAATTATTTAAATTATATTTAAAGATTATTTAATTATCCTACACAAATTCGATGAGATGATATTCCGATAAAATTTAACACCTGTTCGGAGACCATTGATCAGAGAATCGGTCTCGAATAGTTAGTGATACGGTCAGATAAACGGATCCGTAAATGGATGGCTCAGTTTTCGAGCAGTATCAGGCTTTCCTGGATATCGTGTGTAGAAACGATGATAGGTAAGCCGACGTAATGTGTCGTCCCATTTAGACCAGGAAGCGTAATGAGGTGAGGGGTACGCGGGAAATGACGGGAGCGAATGTGAGGAGAACAGTTGATGTCGGCCGTGCAACCGATTCCGGGGGATGGTTAGAGTTTGAGCGAAGCACCAGTGTGCCCCTGGCGATGACTCTACTGGGCGCAACTCCGACGCGCCTCTTTACCTCGTGAACCCGACAAGGACCACTTATCTCCCTAGGCAAATCCTAGAGCAAGTTTGGTACCATCAGGATTGGTCTTCTACAGACTACTCTAAGCGAGCTGGCTACTACTCTCTGTTAAGCCGTATTCCGTGCAGCCTTACATCTTTGCAGATCACTATGAACTACCAGCCGTAGAAACCGCCGACTAAATACCCTCTGCAATTCGCGTATTTTCCGCATTGTCAGTCTTGTGATTTTACCATGAAAATAAAAAATTGGCCTAAAAAAGTGATGTGAAAAAATTCGAGAGAACATTGTTGATTCAAGTGACTTCTTAAAATAAGATTGCGAGTCCAAATGAAAGGAGTAAAATTTAGTAGAAAATAGTAAAATTTTCCTTATGCACATTTTGCTGAACAAAATTATCGAACACCATTTGTTTCTTTAAGTAAAATTAAGGCTAGCAATGAGACGGCCTGCTAACATATAGCAAACTGCATCGTGCAATGCGGTAGTCAAGTACAAGCCATTAAACCAATCTTGCATTTCTGCATACTGCACTCACTTATCGATCGTTTAACGTGTCCAAAATTGGCTTAATTAATGTGGCCAGAAACAGGACTATTTCTTTATCATGTCTTTTTTGATTTGTCTTCTTTCTTTCTCTAAAAAAGATATAAAAAATAAACATCTTTTTTATTAATTCTTATACATTTATATTTTTCATATTTTTTTATTATCTCTTGCCTTTTTTTTCATCTCTCTTGTCTTTCAGAGAGATATAAATAAATATTAATAAATTATATATAAACTAAATTATATTTTATTAATTCTCATATATGTTTGATAAAAATGTCAGATTCAGAGAGATCATTTTTAAAAGTTTTTAATAAAGGTTTTTAAATAATAATTTTTTTCAATATTGGACATTTATATTATATTTTCCTTCATTTCTCCAAAATTAAATTAGTTTTAGCGTAATTTCCACTTTCAGAAATTTCAAACATATATATATATTTATTAATTTTTTACAAAAGAGATATTCTTTAAATAAAAACGTTACGTATTTTATGAGAAAAGTACTTTTGAAACCGGTAAATTATTCAATACATGAAATATGTGCGAGTAAGAAAGATTAAATTATTCGCTGCCTCAAGAGCGCAGTTAAGGGCGTATTATAATATACAGAATTAATTTCTAATTACATTTACGAAACATAAACTCTAATCCTTGCTTGATTTATTGTTCAATTATCGATACGCACGATATTTCTGTAACATTTATATCCCTCTTGAAAACTAATACATAAACGGATTAATTACAGATTTAATGCAAAATGAGAAAAAGCGAACATTTTATTTACTCAAAGTATATTTATTACGGAAATTAGAAAAGAATTATTCGTCATAGACAAGTAACAGCAGATTCAACCCCGGCAAGTTTCAAACAGCATTCAAATAGATTCATTACATTTTATCCATCGCTCAACAGTTTGGAAAGATTAATGATATACGATACATTACAAAAAACGCTTTTCAAAACTATAAAATTTTTTTTAAGTTACTTAAATCAGCATCTCTCTTTAACATAAATGCAATATAAAATTAAAAAAAAAGCATTACAGAAATGACTAAAGGAAGTGTTAATATTAACCAATGCTTTTTAATTAATTATGTGTAAAAATATAAATTTATCTTTCTTTTTGGTTAAAAATGACAATTTCAAGTAATCATCATTAAATATTAAAATAGCTCGCTCTGATAATAAAAAAAAATTGGATATTTGCTTAGAAGATTACTGATCACGAGACAATTAACGAAGATATTTACGTAGAAAAATCGATTATCTGAATATATATAAGAGTAGAAGAGAGAAAAAGAGAGAAAGAGAAAGTATAGCTTACAATTAGCCAATTTATTCAAGCTTTTACCTAAAGCGAATGTTAACTGGTAATAAACGAAAAGCGATGGCTTTACTGTACGGTGACCTATTAAAGGATGCTATTTTTCAAGCGCTGTGAGAATATAAAATTGCACTTTTTTAAATACACTCTACGTGCACCGCAAGAAAATATTTCTTTTAAAGATTACGACATTATGTATTTTACGGCAAAACTCCGGCATGACCACGAATAAACAAAATACATGTCGCGTATTTTTCAACGCCACTTTCTTCAAGCGCAAAGCTTTCACGCATGGAATAAGAAAACAAACTATTCGCGCTAGTCCAACGTGTACAACCGCAAGATATTTATTTTATTCGACAAAAAATAGTAACAGTATTAAATAAATTTTGCAGAAACATTGCTCGATTATTAGATTTTACTAAAAACAAAAAAAAGTACCAAAAAATTTGCACAAAGAACATATAATTTCTTTAATACGCGTGAAGATGGTTTATATCGGTTTGCCAGCGTATCCCATAAAATGAAACATTGCGGCGGCTATGAAGCCTTTCGTTATCTTCATATGTCCGCGCGTGGATATCGAGGATTCATAACTGTGAGCGATAAATGGATATATCGCCGCTTGTATCGTCATGCTTGGCCAAGCTGGAGATATATTTGCGTGTATATTGAAACGTTCAATGCGAAACAAGTACCGGTAAACACTGAGCGACTGGCTTTTAATTAAATTCATATCGATCGCATTTCGTTTCCCGAATACTTTACACCTTGGTGATTTTTAATTTCTCCATGTTCAAATTCCAGTTTTAGAAATCATAAAATTGCGCTTTAGGCTTTCAACACATGTCTTTGATGTGTATATGCGTGTGTCAAAATATGTCAGAAAATTGTTATTTGCAAAAATCTCTCGCAAAGTGAGAATTATATTTCAGTATACAATTTTTTGTTAACAATGAAATTTTCTAATCATTCGAAAAAATTAATCATAAATAGAAAAATACAAAGTGATACTTAAATTATCGAATTATTAAAATAATTTATCACAATTATGTGTGACGAAGGTTTTCAATGATCTACGATAGATTCGTTCGGACATTTAAATCATGAATAGTGACTTACGGACCTACGAGTGCCAACTAGCATACGTGCCAGAGACAGCGAATAGGTCTGTTTCCAGGGATTAACGCAAAGCATATTGCATTCTATACCTCGTGAATATCTGGTAGTAGGATCGACCATAGGCTTAAACTGTACCATTAGGTACATGGTTATAAATTCAAACATGAGTCTCTCTGGAATTCGATTCATTGCAATGACTTTTTGCGTCAAAAATCATTTTATTCTCTATAGATAACATTTGAAAACAAGGTTCTATTATATTTATAAATAGAACCTTGTTTTCAAATGTTATCTATAGAGAATAAAATGATTTTTGACGCAAAAAGATATATTTAATAGAACCTTGTTTTCAAATGTTATCTATAGAGAATAAAATGTTGAAAATAAAATAAAATATTGAATAATATGGAAAAAATATCTATTGGAATTCATTTGTAAAATGTGTAAAAAATTTGTAAAAGAGAAATCTAAATTACGTGCACTCTTGTCGATAGTGTCATTTTTGCACGATCTAGAATTCTTTTTGTGATCATCGGTAAATTATATTGAGCGTGATTGCATGATGAAGTAATATTAAGAGTGCAATATAGAGAAAGATTTCGCTAAATAATTAAAATGGATTTTTGTCTCACGGAAAATATAGAATTATGTAGATAAATGTAGGATTACGGAGAAAATGTGCATTTGATTTATTAATTTCGAAAGATGTAATGCTGTTACTTCAAATCTCTTATTAATTCATTGCTCAGTAAACGAAAATTTGCATAATAGATACTCAGAGATATTCATGAAAAAAGTACCAAAATTTTATTTTTTGATGGGATAGTTAAAAAAGATTATAAATTTATTAAATATAGCTTTGATTTGTCATTATTATGTAAACGAAGATCATCAGTATCGCATTAGAAGCAGCCATAGCTACTTTGTCAATGTCAACTTGGTCGATTAAGAAGATAGAAGGAGACGAGGTACGCGAATGGGCGGACAAGTAGAGTAAACCTACGGTTCGTTTGAGCTGGAAAGATCATTTAGACAATTGAATTCATTGTTATGGCGAGGGAGAAGAAGTTCTCTTCAGAGAAAATGTGCGGAAAAGCTTTTATAACACCATCGATACTGGCAATTAAGTAACGAATTAAAAGTACATTGTTTATATAAAATATAATTTACCAGTGTGAGAAGATAAACAATATAATTATGGAGAATGGATTTATTATTGTAGGAAAATATATGTTTTTTCGGTTAATGATATTTTTTGACGAAATACATGTATCTAATTATGCCTAATTTTTAAGATAAAGTTATATTAAATAACGCTGAAGTCAGTTTTCCTCGAGTACGATTCTATCACATGCTAGTTTTAAAAGTGAGAAAAACTAACACGGGGGAGAAACTGAGAAAATCCACAGCTCGTTTAACCTCGAACGATACCGGAAACCTAATTTCATTCGTCTGCCTCGAAGGGGAATTCAAGGGAACAGAATTGAACCGCCGGAAAACTCTGAAAAGCTTACGACTGGCGGAACATTTTTGCGTGACAAGCCCATAGCCGTAATTACTTTCCAGTCCATACGACTCGTCTTCGTTGTACTTCCACCCCAATAGATGCTTGATCGATAATACGTTCCTTCCTTTGTGGCACGTTTTTTTCTCCTTTCCGAATGGTTGACGTCTCGAGATCACGCAATTATAAAGTTTCTAATAAGAGACAGGTAATGTATATATAAAGTTATACCCTCGCAATCTCGTTGTAAACTTAATCTTCTATAGAAATAATATTTGATGTAACATCGAATAACATCGAAAATAAATAATCTTCTATCTCGAAACCACTTCTCTTTCATCATATTTGTACAAGATTGTATATTCGAAGAAAATGTACGTGAATATATAGGATAATATTTGATTATTTTATGCAGCCGCTTATGTATAATACCTCCTATTTCCCGTAAAGACAAAAGCGGAAACATATATATGTAGTCATATTTCCGTGCTTTTTCCAAGCTTTTAGCCCATCAATACACATCCAATCACTATTCTTTTTTTCACATTAGTAGCTTTTTGCTTACTATATATTATACACGTATATCCAATATATCTCTTTTAAAAAATAAAAAGTGTATATATATGTCAATTTTGATTATTTATATAAATAAAATACTAATAAAATTTTTTTTATTTAAAATAATAAGTATTATATTTTAAAATGCAATGTAAAAAATCAATAAAGAAAAGTTATTTCACATCTTTGGAAAATCATCAGAGTATATATTGCGTACTCTAATAAATCCAACATAAAAAGTGAGATTATGGCGCAAAATATTTTATAGCAAAATTTAACGCAAAAAATATAAAATATAAAAATATGATGATTCCGAATATAGAATCTAAATGCAATATTTCCAAGCGTAGATTGCCATTCCGTTGACAAGGCATCGTGTCACACGTCCAACTTCAGTTTAACTCGTTTTTGAATTCAAATCCGACAGTGACAGTGATTCGTTCGCCGATGGAGCGGGGAGGATGGGCAATAACGTCACCGAGAAATTAATGTATTAATTCGCGCTACACTCTCTTCTCGGTTCAAAAAAAAAAAAGGCGCGAGAAATTAAAGACATAAAACGAAGTGGTACGGCGCCCCACATGCATACATATTACGTATGTATAATAAACTTTTTTGCACTTTCGTAGGACGTCGTTGTCGTATCGAGGGATGGAAAGGGGTGTTATTTCGCTATCTAACGCTTTAGTCCATCCTGCGCGACCGTGTGAAAACGCGTTCCAATTTCGGTAACGACGATTTACGGCTGACGTGCCCATCGTGACTATCGTCGAAATTTCAAGCAGGCTCTCGCGGAACTTCCTAATCGCGCGCGTCGCGGCAGACTGAACGTCTATACAAGGAGATCGATGAGCTCGTACTTTTTGTAGCTCAGGAATAAGGCAGCTCGCTTAAACTTTCTTCATAAATTAAAAGAATATATGCCGGTGCTCGTACACACGCATACACCCGTAGAAACCCAACGAGAACAATGGCAATTGCGCCATACGATTGGCAGTCGTGCAATGAGCGGGTTAATTTTCGTGATATTCCGAGATAACTCGCAGAATAATGAAACCCGAGAAGGCGAAATGAGACGCAGGTGTTTAAGAATCGTTTTCACTGCAAAACCCCACAATAAAACGTCGCTTATATCGTCCTCGCGGATATCGTTCGGTATCCACTCTGGAAACGGGTCCTATCAAACCGGGCTGATAACACCAATGGCTCCTGGATTTGGAAGAGGCGTGACACGCCGCGCGATTCGGCGTGATATCGATATCACCCACGCAGGGTGGATGAAAAGTTCGAAAGTGCAGCAAGGCGATATTATTGTATAATCGGATGTGCGCGAGTTGCCCCGGTGCTCTCGAGATCACGGAAGAATATGTAGGGCTGCATTCGATATTCTTTAGAATCTCCCAGCGATCCCCATTCAAGCCATTCTTACAATGTATATACTGGATTTAGCTCGTGGAGATAGATATTCCTAACATTCGTTGAAACGGCCGGCTTTACGGCAGCTTTTGCGTTGAAAGCTCGCTCGCATGCAGCCTTCTCCGTTACTAAAGCTCTCCTCGAGACGCGTCTCTCTCGCTCAAACATCCCGTACGTAGATATGAACATTTTGCACCCCTCGTTCCTCGGGATGAGACACCCTTCTTATCGCTCCTTCCTCGTCTCTTTACCGAGCCGACAAAACCAAACTGTTCGCCGATCGGCTATCGACGAACGGTCGTCTGGGTCCTCTCCTTCTCCTTCTCTTTCCCTTCCTTCCTCTCTTCCCTCTCGCTCTCCTCTTCTTCGCTCTTTTCATCCGGATCGTCGCCGATCTCCGTTTCCGTTTTTTTCACCCCTCGCACGATCCTTTACACCTTCCCTCCTCCTTTTGCTTTAGTTTCATTGCTTCCGCGTCTCTTGGCATCGTGCCGCTCTATCCGTGCGCATACCAATCAACAAATAGGAAACGGGATGCAATAAAAGGCGCAGATTGCCACAAGAGAATGCAAATAACACGGACACTGCATCGTTATCTAAAAAGGAAATATTGATCGCCGTAATACGGCGATTTCTCGCTTCTGCGATCATTTGCAGAGCCCGGACGGACCAATTTATTCGTATTAGCATGTTGCCGAGACGATAAAATTTCCATACGGAATATCTTTTGGATGCATAGCGAAATTTGTGATATTGTATATTTTATGCTAAAAGTGTGAGAATTCATTCGTGAACTTTCTCTTACAAGGACTAACTTAAGATACGAATATATATCGCATAGTCGCCATCCTTTAATTATCGAACATCGAGGCATTGAAATCATATGAAGATAAATTACAGAAGCAGCCACGGCCATGTACGGTTATTTATACTAGTACGTATATACCCGATTGCGCGAAATATAATTTCTCGAGAGTTTATATAGACATACAATATGATCCTGCGTAGAATAAATAAAAATCACGGCGTGCGAACTTTGCTGCGAATTCTCTCTATACTAAATCAAATCACGTTTCCCGTTTTTCCTCGGCGGACATCGGGATAAAGACATCCGACCAGATTCCGTGCACGGAAAGAAGAGTATCGTTTTTAATCTCGTTGACCTTAATAAGATCTTTTACGTAACCGAAGGACGGCAATATAATTATCTATCATTCCGATAATAATTAATCGAACGAAATACGTATGCTTTGATCATTTGCAATGTACGTCTGTTAATTGAATTTCCCTTTTCACTTTTACCGAGGAAAAAATAAGAAATAATTAAATAATCGAAATATTAATAATATTAATATTAATAATAAAATAATAAAAGTTTTCTAACAACCTTTACAACAACACACATATCGATGTAATTAATTATTTTATTAGTACCACTCGATGCTAACAAAAAATATCACGTCTTCGCCCCGATATTTTTCCTGTCTACATCTCTCCAGGGGGGAAAAGGGGGTGTTATAGAAGTCTCTCAAACCAAGAGAATCTATAACTTGGCATATATGTATATGTCTTAAAAAAATTTTTTCGCGAACAATTAATGTTTGAAAAAATTTACGCATTGCCATCCACGTTTTTAGGCTCTTATTGCTCGTTTCTTAATTATCATGTTGTTAAAAAATATCACATATAGAGAAATCATAATTATATTTATTACATCTTTTTACATGCCATGTATGACTGATTTCAAGCGATGCCTTTCTCAAAAAGATTTCGTTAAAGCTGTCAAAGTTAAATTCTTTGTGTTGGCGCATTTTATATTCGAACCCGAGCGTTTCTCGGTTCAGCTACCGCTTCTCGTCTCTCAATGCTTTTTCGGAAACGCGTTCAGGGATACATACGATCCATGTACCTGTACATATATCGCGAGAGGATGGCCATGCGACTGCTTCAAGTCTCGTGCAATGCACCCACCTAGAGCGGTGAGTATTGGAGAGGCATCGCAATGCTTGGAATGTTTAATACCGGCGCAACGACACGGCACAGAGAAATGGTCGGCTTCAACCGCGGAATAAATCTCGTGGAATCATACCAGCTCCCGCTGCCATTTCTTGTCTGCCACGTGCTTTCCGGGAAATTTTTCAGAGACGGGGAAACGCTTATTGCATTTCTATACGTAACACTCCTCCGCCTTATGCGGCGAAATCGCCGAGACTTTTACGCAAGTCACGAGTTCAAGATACTAAGTTTATTCGCCGGAAAAAAATTCGCCGTGCGCACCACCCCATCATTGTAAATACCGCGAGGCGAGATAATGAAAGGGAGCTTTTTGTTTCATCGTATTGTTTTATACGAGAAACGACAAATTTCTCAGATAGCTCTTTTCTTCTTCCCTTCTACAAAGGAACGCTCTTCGCGCGCCGACGACTCATTAACACGCCGCAATTCAAGACGATGGCACATTTATCTCTTTGGTATATAACACTACGAACGTATGTGTGTTGGTCCGACCACGTTTTTGCTCGTTAATTCCAGTCCTGTCATGAATGACAGACATGCTATTTTTTTCTCCTCTGTGGCAAGTAAAACATCCCGCTAATTACGCGTCCTTACTTGTCCCTGGTCAAATACGAGGAACGTTACGTAACTTCGTTTTCCCTCTTTAGAGTCACCACGATTTCTGCCAGCCATTCGGCCTGATGGTCCCGTCGTCCGAAGTACGGGATGTTTGCCGGGAACGTTTAATTGCGATTGCCAAGAGTGGACTCCGACGGCGATAGAACGTTCGTTAGAATTTCATTAGGGTCGTAAGATCGAACGCGTCCGAGTGATTCGCTTTGAAAGCGCTCACCACTGTCCCCAGGAAACTGCTTCAGCCATGTTTGTGGCGCGCATGGCCCACTGGTCATTACCGAAAAGCCGATTTGTCGGGCCGACATCGTAACGATGGGAGCGCGATAGCAGGCAATGGCTTCGTTGATACGAAATCACGTGTATTGTATGGGCGTGATGTAACAGAAGCGTATTCAGGTCTGTTCCGGAAATTCCACAGTGTCCACAGCGAAATTAATTTAATAAACTAGAATGCAAACTAAAATTTTTAGAAATGCATAGATACATAAATTTAATAGTTAAGTTTAATTAATTACTCGGTTCGCCCGATGACATTTTCTTATTATTAATTTATTTATAAATCATCTCGTAAACAATAAAAATGTAAGGGCAATAATCATATAAAATATAACGAAGAAGAAATAACAAGTTATCGGAAAAGTAAATTAAATCTAATTATTTTTAATTAAGTTTGATATGACTTGTAATTATATAGGGGTAAGTTTCGTCGATAAAAAGTGAAGAAAAAGTTTGAAAAAAATTTTCGTGCAATTAAAAAAATTTTCTCAGTGCAGAGGATACACTCGTTCTCGATATTCCGGATAATTGCGGACGTTGCACGATATCTTCGTTATTTGCGCGATAATACTATTTGTATATTTCGAACGTAAGGACGGTCCGCCGCTTATAAACTTGGGCTCGACGGCAGCTTTATCCTTATCCTTAACATAAGGATCGTTCGTGTACTCTGGAAACTTGCTGAAGCAACCATCGTGACTTCCGCCAGGCTTCTTGGGGAAAGGAACGTAGAATCGCGCCATACCGAGTGTCTTCCTTGCAATTTCGACCGGATGGACGTAAGTAGGTCCTGGAATCTCATCTTCGTAGGGATTGGGCGGAAAGTAATCCAACGGCGCACTAGTCGTCAAGAATCGGCCTGTTTCTGTTTCAAGGTAATCTGATTTAGTAAATCAGAAAAGACATATTTATCAATAATTGAAATAAATGCTAAAAATTCACAAAATTGTTAAAAATTAAGCACATTACGGACATATTTATTATATGTATTGAATGAGATATATTGATAAAAATTATATTAATAAAAATTATTTTTCAAATATAAAATATAAATGAATAACAAGAGGAAGAGAGAGAGGGGACGAGGAAAATTGTAAATTCTACTGAAGAAAATTTTCTAATTCCTCTACCAAATTTTTCGATAAAAATTAAATTCTATTTTTTAAGACGGAAAATTCTATCATACATAAAGTTTTTAACGTTATACACTTTTTAAAGGAATTTTCTGAAAGAGAAAAATTTCAAACATTTACGACACTAATCTAGATTTTATTTAATTGCTGTCGAATGTTTTTTTCCAGGAAGAGAGTTTACGTGGAAGCTAAAAATGTTTTCCTCACAAAAAGCCAGAGAGAACAAGCAATTTTTTTTTACGATGAAACTATAATTAATCACGTGCTGCCGTATAAAATGAAGGAAGCGTTCCGAAAAAATTCCAATCTACGTCTATATTCCGTTTTCTCATTACTATTTTTTCGCATAATAATAGTCCTTGTAGTGTTGTACACAAATAAACCAAATAATTAAAGACAAGTGAGAAATACGACAAAATATAATTTAAACTTTAGAATAATTTTAATTATTTTTATTAACAACACAAAGTGCAAAAAAATTCCATATTGTTATAGATATTAATTTTCTCTAATTATACAAAAATAATTATTGTGACAGAGAGAGAGAGAGAGGGACACAATTAATTACACATAATTATTTATGAAAATTATAATAAATATTATTATATAAATTATGCTTCAAACAATTTTTCAGAAATAAAGACGCAATGTACAAGACATATTAATCTTTTCTCGTGCTGAATACCGTCTGCAGAATACATATTTCGCAACGAAAGAATTATAGATTCCAAAGTACTTTATAATATGTGCGATAAAATAAGAAAGAAGAGAAAAATGTGCTCGACAACAGCGCAGTTGTAGCAGCGCGTGACTCCTGCTCTCATCATATTCAACTCAACATCGAAATAAACTCGTCGTTCTAAAATAAATCAGTTGTAAAGAGTGAGCAATACTAAGAGTGCGCTTACTAGCTCGTCTTTTAAAAAGTGAAGAGTAATTCTCTCTTTAAAAGTATCTTAATGGCATTTACATTCCCCGACGTATCGCCCGCTAAAAATTATGCATATGAATAATTTATCAAGAAGCGAGAGAGCCGCGAAGAGAGATCAGATCCGAAGCGGCGGTAACGCAAACACATTTACTTTTGCGAACAATCCCTGGGACGCGATCGTAAGGCTCGTGGGAATACGACGGATAAGGATTGAGGCAAATATCCGCGTAACCCGGACCGCCGAGCGGATTGGGTTTGATCTTCATATTAGGCAAAACCGGCGTCTTTTTTTTCACTTCCACTCTCGGTCCCGGACTGAAGTAAGAAGGTTTAGCAAAGCATCCATACCAATCTCCGGGCGACGAGTGTTTCTTCGATGGAGATGTCGGTAGCATGCGGCCAGCAATCTTTCTTTTCTCATCTTGTATCTGAAACAACCCCGTCAAGTAGGATAAAAAGAACGTACTTTTCGCTCCTTCTTTCCGTAGTGTTTTCGTTAAGACGAAAACTAAACAGGACTAAGCAATCTCGAATAGTACGATTAAGGACAAAAGTCAAATATTGGTAAGTGAAAAGATTTTAATGACGTATTTTACGCGCTGTTTAATCACAAATTAAATAGCTTCAGCTTGAACTTTCATAATTGCGTACATTAAATTATATTTAAACTTTATTGAAAGAGTTCTCTTTAAGAGATATAAATTCTCCTTCTGACAAGGATTTAATTAAAATTAAGATTTCAATTTAAATCTCAATCAATACAACAAATCCTACATGCGAGTGCTTTCTTCCTTTCTGTCATAGTTTCTTGACAGCTAAGTCTCAATGAATGGTCAGGTTGATTTCATGTATTTTCTGCATACCCGTTGCTTCGCTTCTTCGCGCCATGGTTCTGTGAGTGCCTCGCCTTCAAAAATCCTTTCAAATTTTTGCTCGAATAATTTATTGGAAGGTCCACCGAGAATTTGGCGTCCTTTAACGACGTCCTCGCGAAATTGTACAGGGCCTCGATACTGATCAAAGGGACCCGATACAGGGTCATCAAAGAAACCTGGAAAGTTTTATATCTGTCAAGATCCTAGAAATCTATAAAACGTATTTTGACAATTTTATTTGCAATATGCATTACCTACTCGTTCGAGGTCAGTTTTTCCATATTGACGACCGACAATTGGAACATTTATTATACGTTTCTTACTCATACTTTTTCTTTTCGTACAATTTCAGCATTGTTTTCTGTCTAAGATAACCTAAAACTTAATTACGTCACGATTAAATAGATACTTTTATGCGTACGCGATTGTCGTTTATCGAAGAAAAAACAGCAAAAATTAATACAGCAAATAATCTCAATGTATTGCAATCTTTCTCCTTACAATTTATTTCAACAATTAATTAATTTCTACAGAAATATACACATATTAATCATGTATCTGTGTATAATATATAAAATATATAAAATTAAATATACACAATATATATAATAATATATAAAATTAAATATACAACTTAAAAATATTTTTTTTAATAAATCATATTAAGGATGTTTTGTATATACAATCCCAGCAAAAAGGAGCTGAAAATCAATGATTGATGAATATCTCCACTTTTGGTGTATTTTGAGTGCAGAGATGTATTTTTTAATATTTATCGCGTTTTTACTGAAATATTCCGAATTTTGTTAGTCGAAATGATTAACTTTTGGCAGAGAATTTTGCCTTATGACAGATACATGGCTAACTTCATTGAATTATATTTAATATCTTTTTAACCAGTTAGTACTTGTATAATATTATTTGACCAAATATTTCCTCTGTATCTAAACTTTTGCAAATTTTAAACAAATTCTGAATATTATTTCCATGTGTTTTTGTCATTTGAATCGACGTGGTTATACGTTTCCCGTTATAAGAACACATGTTAATTCGATGCAAATTAAAATCCTTATAACTTGTGAACGCTTTAGTAAATCGATTTAAAAATTGTACTGAAGATTCTAAACATATATAAGGACATTCTGTACAATTTTCATTAAATTCTCAATATTTTAAAAATAGGTACAAAACATCCTTAATTAAATATGTAACGATATATAATATTCATGGATAATATAATGATGCGTGTCACGTAAATCAAATTACGGCATCTTGAAGATTAAGTCCAGACTTATGAGTAATTGACCTGGTTCCCATTAGTAACGAGATGTTCTTAATGAGTTGACGCCGGCACCACGGATATCTAGCGGCATTCTCGTTGCGGTAACAGTGGAAACATTTCATTACCGTCTGTTTGGATAGACTGTACAGAATTGAAGGAGTTGCTCGCGAGGGCGACTCTCTCTGTAAGCTCTGGTTTTGATCTTGTAATGTTGGAACAGGAGTCACAGAGAAGTCACGTCGTCATCTCCAAAGAAATGACGAGCGATGATACAGTGTTAAAAAAAAAAAAGTCACGTCGACAATGGCAATTAATTTGCGTTCGGGATCAATCACTCGTTACGATGCTTCGTACCATCTTCCACCATTTTGTTTCCGAGTCGCAGCAGTCGAAGCGATCTCGCTTTAATAACGTTCCGGGCGATCTAACTTGTGTGACGGCAATATCGTTCGACCGAAAGTTTTCCAGGCCTCTAAAAGGCCGAGTTCATCTTTACCCATAGCCATGCGTATGCGTCAGCCCGGTAATTTCCACAGTCCCTATCTGGCACAATGTTTCCGCGCGATCCACCGTACAGTTCGCGAAGCGGGGCGACAACGGCCGCGATAATAACTAAACTTTCGATTGCCAGGGCAAGCCATTAAGATAAGACTCAAGGCAGCTAAGAGGACGCTTGCTTCCGAACGAGAATAGTTGCGGAATCCGTGAGGAGAGCGAGGGCTGCGGGAGAGTGGTAACGCGGAAAAAGCGAAATGCCAGAAACCGACGAAGAAAGAAATCGAGATCCGGCGAGGGAAGAACGGGGAATGGAAGAAATTGGAAAGGTAAACGAATATAAAAGGGGGGGGGATATAAAGGGGGAGGTGAACGAGGCAGAGGCGAAAGTGGTAGGAAAGTCGATGGAGATGTCAGCGATGGAAATAGAAAAATGTTGATATACATCGGCCGCGCCGATAAAGTGGTAGATCGATTAAGATTAAACGTCCGGTGTCGCCGAGTTTAAGACAAGTTACATTGGAAACTGGGGAATTGCCTTTCGCGGAATTGAAATCAAGGACGTGACCATTTAATTTGCAAATGGAAGGAGAGCGATTGGTTTGACTCAGCTTAACTCAGCGTCTGCGACGTCACGAGGAAACTGATGATGATGCTGTGTCTTCTGGTTACTGAATATTCCTCGGAACCATTAAGAGGTTAATAACGTATAATTTGTAAACTGAAATAATTCAGAATCGTGAAAGTGGTGAAGAAAGACCAGCGATCTCCATTTTTGACTAGTTTCAATGAATCAAGCTGATAAAAATCTCCTCTTTATCTCGTTTTACACATAATTAATTCGAGAACCATTATGCCTTTATTTCTCATATAGTGCACGAAAAAAAAACAAATAATTTATAAATATATGCAACATATAAATTTTTCTTAAAATAGTGGCATTTTGCGCTTTAACATTATTTATCTTATTTTCCTCCAAATATTACAAAAATAACAGAATTTTTAATTATTTTAGTTGCCTTACAATATATACTTTACTAGAAGCAAAAATTGAAAAGCAATAAATGATATTGGATAATTTCAAAAAATAGTACTGTCTTCATTCGATCTCATTAATAAGAATGGTTGATGCTGAAAATATCTATCATGAATAATCCTAGCTTAAATCATTGTCTGGAAAGATTGTAGAAAAAATTGGAGAAAGGATCAAACTGGGGTTTATCGTTTCTAAGTGGAACACCATCGAGGAGAAATGTTCCGCCTGATTTCTGGAATTCCAATTCAATTACTTCAATCCTCCGTCATTCATTTACGAGACGGTTTATAAAAGATACGTAATAAATAACGTAACAACAACGGCATAGTCATAAATAAATAAAATAGATACGATACGAGTTATATCTGTTTTCTATAATCGAGACATGTGTTCCAACACGAAAACCGGACGGTCTATTAGAAGCGGTCACAAAACTACAGAATTATTGATGTCGCGGTAACATCGAAGGACCATGTCCATTAATTCAACCTTAGCCTAAGAGATTTAAATAATTAATCCGGCGACCGACCCATTGCGATTAAACGCTGCAATTTAAACCGAAAATTCGTCAGAGACGAATCTTTGCCGGCGACCGCATCGTCTTTCTATATTTCCCGGTTCTCTAAGAGAGATGCGAATCAGCAAACTGTAACGCGAATCCTTTGTCCAATCCCTGCGGTCGCATATACGTAAATGATATGGGAACAAAGAGCTCTCAATCCGTGTATTGCATTTCTAAATTACATCAATATCGTCTTTGGAATTTATTCCAGAATACAATTCGATGCATGCATCGTATGAATGATAAATCCACAAGTCGTTTCTATTCAAAAGCTCTCCGTTTTTATTTATCATTATACAACTGCGAGATGCGCAACACATATATAGTAATTGACAAAAGATTGTGTATTCCGGGCCTAAAACTACACGGAACTAAACTGCATTACCTTGCTTGGGCTATCACACGTGCCGTAGTCAAAGAGCCGACCTGTTTATACTGACTGAGTGTCGCGATTGTTGGCAAATTGGCGGTGGTCGGATCTGTCGACGATGGCCGGGGTTTGATGAAGTAATGGACGTTCTCTGTCGGCGTGTTGACTTAGCCAAGCCATATACATCGTAATGGTACGTACACAATGCCAACAGGCAACGTAGCGACTGCCAATACGGATTCAGCTTTGTACAGTAAGCCCCTTGTACCATACATGCACACGTATCAGCGCATACAATGCGTAACGTAAGCTATCGACTGTTCTTGCCGTTTCGTCGTCGATTTATACCGGTACCGGGATTCCTGTTAACGTTTTTCCGATGTAATTCTCATTTCGGGCTCGTCAATATTTTCCAACATATTTTATTCGGTTAAACAAGTATCTCTTACATGTATTATGTAAAGAATATCGATACAAGAATTATTAATCGATACGAGAAAGATGAGCAGTGCTGGAAAGTGGAAAAGAGGAAAGTAAGATGGTGATTTTTACGAGTGTTCCCTGGCCGTGTTCTTTTTTTTTCGAACATGCGCAACTTGACTGCATCGAGATGATGCATGAGCCACATCGTGGTATGCACCGCAAGATTCCATGCGTCGCGTATCCACTACGTGCCGCCGCAGTGCGAAATTATGACAAAGGGTTTATGTCTTTCTCTGCTCTGCCACCTGCAAAAAAGAGGAAACGCCCGCACGCGAGCGGGAGGACAATGGCAGTAGTATGCAACAGCACGGGAGCTCTCGAGAGCTATCCCGAAATAAAGCGGTTTGTTTCGGCGACGTTGTTTTAGGAATACCCGCATCAAGCCTGGCTGGTTCCCTTAATCAAGGGAAATATCACTACGTCACGTTGACAAAAGGGAGCAACGTGTTTAACGCTATTATTTCGAAGCGCGTGATTGTTTTGCATTTAATTACAGTTCTTCGTGTCTGACGGAGAGGAGAATTTGCGAGGGGAAATTTAATAAATTTCACCTCGTCGCGTTAGAGCGAGATTTCTTTGGATCGACTCGATCAGCTGATCGAGTGTTTCTCGACTTGATAGATTATCAAATCCTATTTGTCAGATATCGCTCTCGCATAGAAATTTGCGGAAAGAAACTCGCGGGAAGAAACGGAGAGATAGATATTTCGCGCGAGACAGTCGCGTGGAAAGAAATTACGAGCAGATAAAATAACTTGTCTATCCAAAACACACTCATGCACGATGCTGTTACGTCGTGTCGTTTACGTCAACAACGGTGGGAATATACTTTTTCTCTCTGGCGTTCCGCTTCTTTCTCTCTCTCTCTCTCTTTCACACAACGCGAACGTCACTGCCATCATACTGATTTAGTATTTTTCCAGGACAGTGTATTGCTGAAAAGGGAGCTTTTAAAAACCGCGACGCTTAACGTACCCGGGGTCCGTCCGGGATATGGGAATGGGATGTGCTCTTTTTTCTGTCGAGCTTCTCTCTCGGTAGTTTCGTTTTATTCAATTTTTCGTCCGCCACTCGGCGAAGCCTCTTCCGGCAGCTTTTATCGTGCAGCCCGACTCGTCCAGCGAGTTTATCATTGTGTCGCTTCCCTGGACCATCGGATTCTCGAGTAAAGTCGGTTGCAAACGCCACGAAATCCCGGTCTTCGAAGGAAATAATCGCACCGCGTATTTTTAAAGACGTTGCAGAGAGCATCTCGTGAACGTGAGATCAATTACGTGTAACTACCACGGTATCGATTTCCATAATCATACCGGAGAATGTCCGGGCATTCACCGAGGAGTTTCTCTTTTCGATGAATAAGACGGTTATATAAAGAATGCAATGGGGCAGAATTAATGGGACATCTCTCTTCGTAATGGATGCTGAGTAACGTCCTCCCGATAATTTTTCTTCTCGGATCCTTTGGACGTAATTCAAAACCAATAAAAGTTCATCAAATTTGCACAATGGAATTAACACGTAGAAGGGACTTAAGCCAATTAGGCTACTTAAATTCCGGGAGACGCAACGCAGTACTCCTTCATTATCTCACGAGAGGTGTCATTATCGTAAAGGGGAAGGAAAGCTGAATAAAGAGGAGAGACACACGTTCAGTACTATATATTTTTATTGTATTCTTGCATTCGAACCTTTATAAATAATGAACAATGAATACCGACATATTAAATGAGCTTTCTATTTCACTCTTTCTCTCTTCTTCTTTCTCCGCCTTTTTAATGATGGACGACGACCAGGCATCATATAAGTGGGTTCTCATTTTAATTGCATTAATAATGATATAATAGTACCAATAACTTACAGGACTTGCTTACAGACTTGTTTTAACCATTATCGTGTATACATTAGTATGTGGATGCATGGGGATGAAATATGATTAATGATGATAGAGTATATTGGAGAGCGCGCAGATACACAGACACACATACAGGCACGCATACACACCCCCGCAGACATTGCACACGCATACGTACGTTTATCGCACATTCCGTCGCTCGTCCTTCCACCTGCGGTTCTTCAGAAATAACACGCTGCCCGCGCGGCTTAACTTCTAATTTCGAATTATATTATCGAACACACGTAGATTATTTTGCTTGTAATCTCGCGCACTCTCACGCACAGACGTATACATACCCACATGATATTATCCAGACTTTGCGCGAGCGGTAATCGTCACGTCGCACGGTGGACAATAGCGGCGTATTGCCCGGGCAAAATAAAGGGAAAAATAGTTATTAAAACCGAAACGACGCTTTTATTCTACGGAGGGCTGTTTCTAATTAGAGTTTATCTCTCTCTCTCTCTCTCTTGCTCTCCTCAAGATTAGCGAGGTCAAATGTAAAATTGTTTTAAAGCAAAGATTGTTGAGAAAATTGACGTATATAAGCGTATAAATTCGCAATATCAAAATCTAACAATCGTGTCGCCCACAAATGAAAATTATATAACAATCGAGTGTAAATAGAATGTATTTTAACACTTTTTATTATATATTAATTTGTGATATATTGGAAATGATAAAGGTTCTTAACGAGTCTTACCACGGCAAACATCATCTTATAATGAATTTATTATCGAATCTTATTTTACTACATCTTTGATGACACACGTGATATTTTCAGGACTCGCTTGGGCCGATAGAAATTAACGCGATATAATTATTTTGACAGTTGTATTTTTAATTTCCCTTGTTTTTTATTTAATCGAAAAACTAAAAGAATAACTGGAAAAAAATAAGAAGAATATTGTACGACAAAGAATCCTTTCTAAGTAATCTCTAAGAATTTATAAGCGATATTCACTGCATACAGAGCAGCGGGAAAAACTTTTCCTATCTTTCTCGAAAATGAATTCCGCATGAGCGAACGTCGGAACAAGCAAACAATCGAAACTGATGACATTCGGTCCTATTGCCTGCCGGGACAAGCGCGAGAATATTCTGCAAAATTTACGCTTACCTTACCGTAGTTATAAAACTGTCCGTTGAAGTTTGCGCGCTTGACATTAATTCACAAATTGGCCTTTCGCGGATTAAAGCCATCCTGAATCTCATGCTTGGCAGCGAAACAAGGGTTGAAAACGGAGAGTAGACGACGTCTCGAAAACTTCCCTTTAAGAGAATAGCGTATAACGGTGATAGAAAAAGCCGATGATAAACCCCAAAGAAGAGAGGAAGAAGAGCCCGAACGCAAAAGTTTGCCCGCGAAATATCCGGACGTCGTTGCGATTCAATGTATTCCCGATACTCCGTTCCAATTTTCTCTCTATTTCTCCCGCTCTTTTTCGCGTATAATAATTAAATTTATCGCGAATTTACCGGTTATACGCGCGAATGTGGTTTTTTGCGTAACGGATCGCGCACGGCCGCACGCGTCTCGTTGAAATATTTTGCACCTGCTCGTACATTAATGCCTCTGTTAAATTATCACATTACACAGCCGGCGAGCGCGGGGTAGGTGGGGGCGGGGGTGTATCCGCGCGAGTAGAAAGCTACTGATTTACGCCAAACTAACCGTACGTCATTGTCAGGTGGGGCTGCTTAACGGTTCATTTTCCATCGGTACGATCGGCAATTTGTTGCCCGATCGATCCTCGTCCAACTGTCGCGCTTTTACGGTGTGCCACACGTATCCCGATCCCGCCCGCGCGTTGCAGTTCTGCCCGAGTACATCCCTAATGCAATCGTACACTCACTACTACATTGTGCGTACGCGCTATAAAATTTCTAAAATGCTAATGTTATTCGCGTACGTTATTTCTGCGCACGGATTTATTTCGATATTTTCGGGATTTATTTGGATCTTGTAGCTTTCTCATTTACGTTTTCTCGACGATATTTTTTTATCATCGGGTAATCCTTCGAAATGTTTTATTCAATTTGATTTATCTGAATATCGAGTATCTTTAAAATATATATTTTTTTAACGTGGTATTTTTTTTTTACAAAAAATGTGACAGATTAAAAACCGCTCGCGCAATAATTTTCACTCAATAATAAGTTAATATTCATTCTCGTAAAGTTGCATAGTTTATTTTAATATATCTATATATTATAAAATAATTTAATTTCGAGATACCTTTATTTTTGAAATGAGAAATTATATTATCTGCGTTTCCAAGAATTGCAAACCGTTATAACCAAATTAAACAACGATATATATTCATGTATATAACGAAAAGTTAGTTTTAAAAATCCATTATAGTATTCACCATATTTCAATAATTTTACATATAGAAAGCGGCTACCGGATCTTTTAATACAATTAATGCGAATTTTATTTCCTATTCGTCAGGCTTTTTAAGCGAGTAAATGAACGAACGATCTTCATCGTCCATGTTCATCGCATATTGGTCGCCGCAGGGCTAGCGAGCATGAAAATTAACATTGAACATTGATGATACATGGCAATCATTGTTTCTTGCTCGAGTGTTTTCTTCGACCCATTACGAGCCTCGAAAATATTGCTTCTATCAGATGAAATTGAGTAATAATGACATTTGAAGAGACTGTTCAGATACTGTAGCAAATTTCTATCAACAATGATTATCGTCGATCACTTTATTTGCCAAATTGCTATTTCGATGCCAATCGGTAACAGTATATAAATCTCGATTCATTCAAAAAGTTGCGTTTGTAACGCAAACTGGAAATATAAAGGATGATATGTAGATCCGCGAACTTTGTATAGTCTGTAATTATCAAAAATTGAATGGCAGATGAATGGAAACATTTTTATTATTCTGTATACAACAGAATGTAATTGTACAATTGCATTGTAGACTGATTGAAATGAAACAAGATTTTTAGCAATAAACTGGCAAATTTATCCGCTTCACGAATATTGAAAAAGCTGCTTATTCATCGTAACAATCAGTATGCCAAATTCTTTGGACGGTGTCGTTCGACAAATTCATGTTTGACGTTTCGAAATATCTCCTTTAACATTAAGAGATTCTCATACTAAAAATACATAACAGTGTACAGACGTAAAATGTAAGTTTAACAAACATATACATATATATACAAAGATGTATACATATACAAAAAGTATATATATACATGTCCTCGAAATTTTGCGACTTTACAAACCTCGTTTGCTGTATCCTCGCAAGACTCGTCTTCGTCGATCGATAAAAAATTCTTCGTTGTTGTACCCTCCGAAAAATAATATATTAAAATTTATAAGAAAATGATACACACATATAAATGTATATTCGCAAATCTTTAATTTGCATTTAAATATTTCAGGAGCGAATACCATGTATCTACGTCGGTATACCTAACCGAAACGCTTACGACAGGTGGAAGAAACATAAAACGAAGATGTCCTCGATTACAGTTGATCGAATCACACGACGCGGCCGCCATTTCTCCGGCGACGTTATACGAACATATGTCATAGTCGCGCGTTATATATCACATGAACGGAATCTCTTAATTAACGGATCCGCATTTGAACATTGTGGGGACGCGAATAACGTGCGCAATAACATCGCATCGACATACCAGAACCAGGAGCTCGAGACACGAGGAAGGGAGAGATGAAAAGTTTCTCCTCCCGAAATTCGCAGCGCGCGAGCATCGTTCGTTCTGCGCGCGAATCCCGCATCGATCGCCACCGGAAGCGATTAGTCAAGTTCCTCGAGGGATGCACTCGAGGAATTGTCTGCTGAAACTGATACGCGTCTCGCATCTCGCTGAAACTGCGAGATGCGGTGCCTCTAGCGAAGCCACTCGTTCGAGAGTTAAGTCCGAAATTTCGAAACGAATTCGAATTCGGTTCGATATCCGTCATCGTTGTCACGCATATCCGCGTATATAATCGCGTACGTCTCGCGTGAGACTAGATCCCATTTCATACGTACTTCGCACCAATTGCACGTTGTGGTTTCCTGCGAAAGTGGCAGAGAGGGCTTAAGGCCCTAAGTTCCCGTCCGCTTCGAGAGGACATTCCGGGCGCGAGTCTCCTTGGGGAGGGAGAAAGTTAGCACCATTCGAATCGCAGGTTTAAAATGCACTGAGGGGGTCATCACGGTCACCTTAAGAGCGACGATAGTGATATCACAACGGTGAAGATAAAGGTCGCCCTCGGGGCCGAGGTACCGCCGTGTTGCATGGCAGCTGGATTCTCCCCTGTAACAATATGGAAGCATCATACCGTTAATTTAATGTACTCCACCGTCCCCTCTTTTCTTTCGGTCTATTTTTCTATTTTTGTTTACGATGCGCTGAGTGATATTTTCGAAACCGCAAGTCGAATTTTTTAAAAATATCTCTGCGGAGATGTTTGCGAAAAATCACCGTTTACCTCGGATATCTCGCTGATATTGCACCATAGATAAAATGTGACAGCTTCAAGTTGAATATTATTTTTCCAACGTATTTTTATAAATATTTTATTTCACGAATTGCGGTCTACGAGAAATTAAATACTAAATATTAGCAAAATTTAACGTTATTAAATTACCATTCTTTCGAATAAATCAAACATGCTCGTGCTACATATCTTACGATTACAATAATACCTTAGTTCGAACAAAGAAAATGGAGAACGTGTTTCCGATTTAAAATTTAGTAGCAAAAAGGATATATTATTCTAAGAAATTGAGGAAGAAAGAGAATAAATTTTAAAAGAAGTGTATGATTTATATACGTGAAATCTCTTCTCCGCTAATAATCGAAAGCAATGTTTCAATCTTTCTCCAACTTTGTCGAAGTAGAAATGTCTTGTTATTATAACATTTCATTTATCCGTTTCTTACCTTATCTTTTGTAATTTCTATTTTTACGTTTACATCTTGATGCTATCGATCTATCGTTGCGATTTTGTCGGCTTCTATAATATTTATTCGTCTAGTTATCAATGTCTCAATTTATTAATCCTGTGGAGAAAACTATTGGATAATAAATCATCTCTCACGTTTGAAGATGATCAAAGTGGATGTAAGGGAAAACTTGTGCGATGCATATGTATGGCGCAAGTAATCTGTTATACAACAAACTGAATATCAAACGAAACATATTCCTCGTCTATCAAATGAAATGGCGTTCCAATCCCTGTATTTGATTTGTCATAAAGTACCGTGACAAAAGCGTAGGTATTGCGACCAATATATGTATATATATTTGGCTTTTGAACCGTTCGAAAATTCAAGATATAAACGCAAATCCGGCCATCCGTAAAATTCGTGGCAAAATATCAAATGCGACGTGATTCCGCGGTCCACTGTCGCATTCAAAAGTGACAAGAGCCTGCGGTCAGCGCGAGTTTAGTAAATGGCTGATCGAAATCAGTCGTCGCACAATCGTGGGAAAAGTATCGCTTAGAACGAAAATAGTTTGAAAAAGAAGTTGTTTCATGTGCGAACTGATTAAGTGGAATGATTTATAATGATAAATGCGTATCAATCTATTCACGCGCTTCGTCCAGTTAATAAATGCATACGTTTATAATTAATTCCGTATGCTCGTAGCATTAGCGCATTTTACTCTGTATTAGCGTGCAAATTTTCCTGAAATTCTAAAACACAATTTGATAATGTGAATATAACTTTCTATATATGAGCGCAAATACATATGTTAAGTTAATAATATATTTTAGCAGAGTTATATATTGTGTAATATAATATTATATATGTATAATATTATGTTTCAGTGAAAATTGCGCATACGGCACGCATATGTCGATCATGTAAAATGGATTTGGATTTGTATTATTCGAATCGCTTTGTCACCGTTTTCTCTTTCGTGCAGCCGTTAACTCTATAATTCATTTTTATCCTTTCTTGGCACAATCAAACATTTAGCTCCATCGATCCTAAAGTTTCGCCCAAGTCGAAAACATGCTATTCGCGTGGCACTTTTAGCGGCCAGTCATAAGAACGACTACCTCTCCCCGAGGATTCAATTAAACACTCCTATTCTGAGAAAGAATTTACAACTCTGTTTACGCGCCTTCTTGATAAACCGGTTCTTAATCCCGGATCTTCCCGTTAATTGAATCGTCTGAATCCTCACCAAGGCTAAGACGTTCCGTCCTATTGAAAATGCTTTCGTTAATCCAACAAAGAAATGAACCCACGTTCTCAAATGTCGAGTGCTAACATTGAGCTTTTAGATAGATACAAAAAAGCGTATCTGCAATAAAATTAATAATCTAATAATAAGTTTAGTATAAATTTTGAATCGCGTGCAGTATATTTGGCAGTTTATCTAGTCGACAGAAATCTGTTCATTTCACACAAATTATGCAGAGCATTTCGTCATTCAACCTCCGCTTAATTACGAATTAATTGGCCGATCATTCATGCGCTGCTCCCACACATACGCGATGCGTTGTAACGTCGGATGTAAATACATCATAATTTCATTGACTTGCCGATCGTATATTTCATTATCATGCAAAAGTTTGTAGTCATAAAAGGGAATAATAGTCAATCTCTCTTAAATTTATCAAAGCCGACCGCACATAATTTCGACTCGGTTTCATGTTTATTTCATCTCCCATAATTGTTCGATATCCGTGAAACTCTAAGGGAGCCTTGAAACCTGTACTCAATTCAGAATCGCACACAAGCGTTCAAGTGTAATGAAATTTATCGGTGTTGTTGCGTTATTCTAAGGCAGGCAGGGGCGTAAATTTTAATTCGCGCGCTACCGAGAGTCGAGAATTGTATAATATTCCACGTAACCGCGCGATTAATCACACCGAGCGATACGATTTTCTTCCGTTTCCGCCGGTCTCTCCGGGAGAGAGAGAGCGGCCCGAGAGAAGCCGGGGACTTAAAGAATCGCCGCGGTAGAAAAAGGCGGATGCGAAATGAGCTGTCAAGCGCCCTCCGGAGATTCCTTCTGTGTATTATACATGGTCGTGTGCGCGCGAGCGGACCTGTTAACTACGTCTTGCGACGAGAGAGCTTTGCAAACTCCTCACGCCTGGCCTTACGTCGACAATGTAAGGAGACGGGAAAGAGAGAGCGAGCGACTTCTCGACGCGGAGAGAGCAGTGATGCCAAAGAGGCGACGGCAGACTTCCGTGTCATAGAAGGGATAGAGGCGGGTCGACGTGTAGTCCTCCTGGAGCCTGCGGCTACGATTATTAATGGGCAGGGCGTGACACCCCGCGAAATAACCTCTCTAACCTCGGCTTCCATGCCAACCGGCCAACCACCCGCTGCTCCAACTCCGTAGTCGCTTGTCTCCTCGTAGGCATTAACTAGGCCAAGAACTACTCATTTTCCCGAACGAACTTTCCGCCACTCACACATTCCTCGCGCTTTTTCACCCATCAATTTCATCCAGTTTGTTCGCTGCTGGCCAATTTTCTATTTATTCCCCTTTTTTTACACGACCGACTCTTTGCTATTATCCAAATTTTTTTAATTATCAATTTAATTAATTATTTAATTTCTTTACTTTTCTCAATAAATTTATTTTATTCCGCGAGGCGAGATTTTTTAATTCCGTAGACATCTTTTGTTACGGTTTGATTCTCGAGATTAAAAGCCAAGAATAAAAATAGAGAAGTCGCAAAGTAAGATCAAAAGAAATAAAAGTGAAAAGAGGTGTCATGCGAGCTTGAAGCAAGCACGTCAAGATAGCACCGAGTAATGTGCTTCACCTCCGGAGCCAGGTTCGCGCTTAATTAATAATCATAACATCTCGAGAATTAATTGCGTTAAGGGTTGTTCGCTCGTATATTGTGAGGGAATATTTTAATTGGGAAAAAAAATAACGAAAGCTGCATAATGTCATGCGCTTCGCTGAAGGAAAACTAAAATCGTATCATCCTTTTTTTCTCGTTCCCCTAGCTTTTACGTCGGAGGCAGTGGCTCCCACTGTTTTATATATAACTGTTATACTCAGCGCGCATTCGCCAACAAGCGCGGTTTCTCATTTGCATAATAAACTAGAGAACTTTAAAATATATTTAAATATTAACGAGTCACATAGCGCGTCCCATTGTGTGATGTTTAGCTGAAATGTTATTTTACTTGTTTTATGAAAAAGGCGTTTATATATTTTTCCTATCTATTTTATCTTTCGCATATACACGTACAATGCACACACGCATGCGTGCGCATATATATATATATATATATATTCGGAAAAAAAGATGATTGCAAGCTTGAAAAATCATTAGGAATAAGAGGGGAATTTGAATGTACAACAGATTTCGCGATATGCAAAATAGGGCGATCTCGAAGGATCGATCTTGGACTGGTCGAGACATTAGAATGCGACTCAAGCCGCAATGGTCAAAGATGGTCACGAGTCCCTCGTTTTGCAAATTGCTCACTCTGACGGACGATCGTTAGCGCCGATCTCATGCATAAACGGATAGACGAGCTGCGGAAGTACGAAACATTTCACGATGCATAACGTTACACGAAATTTCAGAACGTGGATCGACTCCCGTCGCGGCAAACTACTTTCGAATGCGGGCTTCGAGCGTCCGACTACTTGTCAAGCAAATTCGCATTACTTCCAGTATTATGATCGCTCTTGTAGTTACCGGCATACAACACCCGCGGTAATAATTCTCCGACTTGCAGCGTTTCGTAGTCATCGCGACAATAACGTTAGCTCACTCTAATTCCATCTGGCCCATATCTCGCGCTGCGAGATAATAAGACGCTTGTTTTGCGAACGATGTATGTTTCGACGGTAGAATTCAGGAATTTCGCATTTATTAGCGTCTGTCGAGTGTACTCGAATCAGGAATGAAACGCAAGCACGAATTTAAAAAATATATTCAATCATACAAATCGTGTGTCCGTCGCGAAATTTTGGTCTCCCGATTGCAGCAAAATCGTTAGGGTCGTAATCATCGTTTCGGACAATCGGAGATTATCTGGCTTTTCGAAAAGAGAAAGACTCGATTATACATCACGCGAGCGAACATTTCTCTATTGCCTCGTCAAACTTTACCGAGGAGATCGAACTCTCGTATTGGACCGCCGCGACTTAAGGTAATCCGCCGTAAATAATGCACATCGTCTAGATGCGGCGTCTCTGAGCCGCTCTGCCCCGAGCGCGAAAAGCCGCTGTGAAAACTCGTTGAGCTCCTTTGCTATAAGTTCGAAAGACGTTCCCCAACTCACGATATCGACCGCATTCTGCAGTGGCATCTCATCCATGCCGCTATGAAGCCTGCGTTTAGCGGCATTTCCCACAAGAGCACGCGTCATCGACTCAACGTACGTGCTATTTTGTCGTGATACCAAAGTTTCGCGGTTTACGTCATCCTAAGATGAAGGAGAAAAAGCACTAGAGAGGAAAGAAAATGTCATCTTGCGATAGATCAAAAGAGAAGCGCAGACGAGAATTGCTCGCCGGACAGAAAAACGGATCAACCTAGACATATATATATATATATATGTGTGTGTGTGTGTGTGTGTGTGTGTGTGTGTGTGTGCGCGCGCGCGCGCGCGCGCGCGCGCGTGCGTGTGTGTGTGTATTTTGGCAAGTTTTCCCCGCAGATACGAATTATATCGGTAATAATATGTATTCAGTCTCATTTAATCGAATTCGATTAACTCGACAGAAATCGCATCAATCATTATCCGTGCTAATTCCAATTTGATAGATTGATCTTTATCTAACTACATGGGATAAATTATCTATCAGCACGATAAATTAATATCCATTATCTCGTCTGTTTTTCGTAATAAAATTGTATTTTTACGCTTACGTTATTTCCATGACAAAATTGGAAATATGAGAATTAGCGCGTGCTCTCTCGAGAATAATGTACATTTGGAACGTTAATTTGATTATGCAATGAAAGGGAGAGAAAATGAGAAAAATTACAAAATGAAGAATAGTTATACGACAACTTGACTAAGGTAAAGAAGAAAATGGGTCAACTTGAATATTTTTAAGTTTACTAGAAACATGCCATGCGCTAGGATTAAATGACACTCCGGATGCAGTTACCCATGAGAAATAAAATAATAATTTGAATAAATAATGATGGAAGAATTAAAACAGCGTATATCTTAATAATACTTTAATGTATTATTTAGCATATAAAATATTAAATGTCATCGAGAATTTTTATCTCTCTAGTATAAACTATTTTCAAGAATATCGTTTAATGCAAGAAACTCTTTGAGAGACAGAGATAAAATGGAAATGGAGACCAGACAAAGATTACGAAGAGCGATTGAGCGGCGACCCGTCAACGACAGCACCTCCGTCTCGGTCGCATTTGGTTCCGGTTATTTACCCTGATGAAATCGCAGCTTTGTATTCCTAAACGATCGATTGGCGCGAGAAGATGTACGGAGACAAGAACAACTGACCTCTTTGAAGCGTGAGGAAGACGGAAAAGCCGGAGAAACGGAAGACGGTATAGGAAATAAAGGAGGAACCGGTAATAGGCATCAGCGCCGTATTGAAAAGCCATGGAATCAATTATCGATCGTGCAAAGGAGTGGAAAATTATATCGATAGGCGCCGAAGGTGGCTGGCATCCCTTCGATCTCGCCTCCTTTGAGCCCTCCAAACACCGTTATCAGTACTGAACAGCGAGTGATCGTTTAATTGTGTGATTTCGAGTGTGGCTGATTCCTCGGAGCAAATGAATGTCTTCCGATAGAATTAAGGAAATGAAATGATAAATTATATCGCCTGACATTATCGAATTGTGTATTAAAACAGATTTTCATACGTCAGAGAAAAAAGTCAGATTTTTCTAATTATTTATTTTTCGACTTTTTTAATCAACTTTTCACATAAGATTTAAATATACAAATAACTTTTATCGATTTTTTGCGTTTGAAAAATAAATTTCTCGGAAATAAAGTTTTCGTTTTTTGCTCGAATATTAATGATAATCGAAATACGAAAGCATACGTTCGTGATGAAAACTTACCATTTAACACGTGGACGGACACCATAGTGGCTGCTGCTACATTTGCCAGGGCGCAGCTGTAGTTCCCGCTATCTTTTTTATTCGCATTTGCAATGTAAAGCCTAGATATCGCACCGGCTGCACCCATGTCCGTCTTGACGCTGGAACAGAAAGCAGAATGTTCCGTACAAACCTTGATAACGTTGACTATTATCGCGCGTGTTTCCGTGAAATAAAGAACGGATGTTCACTTGACAGTTATTTGTGCGAAAAGGATGGATAAAGGATTTTAGTTCGCAAAAAGGAGAGATACAAAACCAACGATACAATTGTCTTGAACAAGTAATGTAACGTCAGACGAAAGAATGGTCGAAGATAAAATCGTTTGAAACAAAACATATGACAGAAAAAAAAATGCCACAGTCGACAATCCTTATACTTCATTTGATCAACTAGTAAATTCTTATTTTTCATATACATGATATTGCGTTTTCCAAGTTTTTCAGCGTTGAAAAATAATACAATCATGACGACCGATGACGGCTGACGATAATTTGTGATTTATGACGATAGCAGGTGGCTACGTAAGAATGCCCTTGAGGGGTTTTTTTAAAGTAAGGAACGTGAAAACGAGGGCAGTTTATATCAAAAATTTATCATCGGACGAAAGACTTTTTTTCATACTACGCTGTCGCACTGGGTAGTAAACAGATTCGTTTCGCAATTCACAACCACAGTGTAGACAAATAAAATAAACCGCCCATCCTACACAACCCCTAAAAAATTGTAAAAAACACGAGCTTCTTCTCATGAAAACAGATTTATCAGAAAATTGTACTCTAAAAAATATATTCTCTAAAACTATACCTCGTAAAATGCAATTTCATAAATTTACTTGTTATCTTATGTATTTTCATACAGATAAAATAGAAGTAAATAACAAAAAGTGTAAAAATAATCATAAACGTATAAGATAAATATATAATTCGAAATATATATGTATGAAATAATCATAAACGTATAAGATAAATATATAACTCGAAATATGTATGTATAAAAATTTCACACACACCCACACAACACAAGTTTTACACATAATAAATATACTTATTTAAAATAAAGAGATATATTTCGGTTGTTGAAACAAAATTTGCATGTACACAAAATAATAATTAGTTTTTCCTGTCTTTGCTCAAAATAGTTTATAGTGAATTTAACGAGTTTTGCAACTAGAAACCTCGAATATAATCATTTCTAAGAAACTTTCGAAGAATCAAAAACTCGTTAAGGGTCTACAGAGAAATGCTTGAGAAGCAAAAGTTACAACGAATCAGAGTCAGATCGAACGAGTCGAGGCTTTTTTACCTCGAGACAGACTTTATTATTACTTCAAAAATTAAATTAAAAAATTACTATCGACGACCTGTACTGTCATATTTAAGCCTGTTTATAAGCAAAAGTAAGAAGCTAGCTCAACACTTAAGATCACTCACGTTTCTGCTTCACGAATTAAACTGATGAAATAGAGCATTCAAGAGAAGAATAAGGGAAAGGCGGAGAAAGGCAAAGAGGATGGTCTGCGAGCGGAAGATGGAAGAAAGGCGTAAATCAAGTAGTTCACCCTCCAGCAGCTGCCCTTGACAGATCGAGCACTCCTCCCAAGCTTTCTTACCCCTTGATCTCGGACAAAAAGAAAGAGAATAGAACGTTAGCGTACGTTGCATACGCCTTCACATATAGCATCGTATTAATTTCATACATTATCTCGCTCGCATTACACTTGAAGCATTACTCGCATGATGTATAACGCAAAATTAAACTTCTTGCAAGTCTGCGTAAATATGAAGAATTTTCTATTCCGAGTTTTATGTTACATTAAATAGAAAAATGGGATTGGTTCTGTGTTGCGTTAAAGAAAAGTATAAGCGATGAAAACTGCAGTAGCTGCCGTATATATAATAAAAGAAACAAGCAAAAAAAAAAGAAACGAACTGTCTGACTTGAAATTTAAAAATTTTTTTTTATTTTGTGTAACGATGCGTGATGGTTGTTTTAGACACATTGCACGTTACATAAGTCAGTTGTATAGAAAGATCTCGGAAAGAAAATGGGATAAAAATATATTACATATATAAAGGAAAGGACGCGCGCGGAGGAGGTTGGCATAAAATATAAAAGGAAGTTGTGGATTTTAAAAAACCGAGCGCAAGATACTGAGAAGATGGACATGCCGATGACGTGGGGAAACACAGGGGAAAAAGGAAGATTTAGGGAAATGTTAAGAGGTCGGTTAAAGAATTCACATTCGAATAACCCGGATGCCGCAAAAGACGCATCTTCTTGTCCCTTCCTGTCTTACCGACAACCACACGGATGCTTCATGATCCCGCCAAACCTTTGCGGCGGGGCCCTTTGAGAGCAACGCGTCGAGTATTCTCCAAGAATGCGGCCAGCGTAACCGTTAAAACGTTAAAGGCACTTGTTGCCAGCACCGCTATCGTTACCACCGTTGACACCCGGTGTTTCCGGCTTTTTGTATGCGAATACTCGAATTCCGCCTCTTGAATCGAGTGTACATTCTCTGTCACGTGAAAGGTATCAAAAATCTTTAATTAACAATATTGAAATATTGATACATGCAATCTTGATTTTTTTAAAAATCTTTTATTAAAAAAAGATATTATCGAGACACAAGAGGGATATATCGTAGAGAGAAAAAAGGAATAGCAGGGAACGAGCGGAATGTTCAGAGCGACTCGTGTACTGCATGCGCAAGAGACCGCTTTATCCATCAGGAGGCCAATGCAGCAACTCGCGTAACATTGATCCAGCCGTTCTACCACGACCGAAATTTTCCGACGATTGGCATCCGGGGACAGATCACATGCCATTTGCCGTTCCAACGACCGCTCTCATACGCGGTAGACATCCGTCACGCGTGTCGTGCGCGGTGCATAGTTGCATATAAACACTTGTTTTATTATATTTCATTTAACCGGAAATGCGCGTATTCGAATTTGTCCCCGATATCCGTTGACACGTCACCGTTTAATCCCTGGTCGGCAAAAACCGGCCGTTGTATCGCCCGCGGCGAGAATTTCTAACGGGAAGGGTTAAATCTCTCTCTCTCTCTCGCGGTGACACGCGAGATTAAATACGTATCGTGCGAAAATCAAGCAGCGCTCAGTGATGCGAATTTTTCGAATTTTTACGCAAAGTTGCGTTCGTATCTTACTTATCATGCAAGAAAATAAAAAAATCGAATGATATTCCCTTCGTTTTTAATCCGTATTTCGTAACGTTTCTCCGCGCGCGAAAAAATTTAATTTCATGCATTGTTCTTAGCCTCTCTGTGTTGCACGGAATATATACGGAATATATCCGCGAATGGAAAGTCCCTTTAAAGATATTGAGACATCAACGCTTAATAAACGAATTTTCAGTACAATTGTTCCTCCTCCAACATCTCTTATGAAATTTTTTTATGTACGTGAAAAATTGTTAAAATATTCGTATGTGTCTCGCATGTTGCTAGTGTATCTCATTTGAATTTAAAGAAGCAATGAGGTTTTCTCGTTAAGCCAGTAAAGTTAAAGTATTTTGCATACGCGAACCAAGAAGGAAAATATATTATGTTTTACTTCATACACAACATAATCCATTTTCTCAGTCAACGAATCATTTTGGCTATGCCATTTTTAGCGCACACGCTCACCAGCCAAGCTGTCAGCTTATCGCGCATGCTGGCGGAGAACCATTCCGGCTTTCTCTCTTTCTCCCTTAGCCAAATATAAGCTTTTTTTACCACGCCGTGGAATTTAATTCGAACATAAAGCGCAAAATTTATCCTCAAATTCTTCCACACGCAACTTCACCCACTCGAGCTCCACCTCCTTCGCGTTCGACCTGGAAACTTTTTTTCCCTTATGGATTTGCAGTGAATTTCGCAACGGCAATGTGTAGAGAAATTTAAGAGAGCTTTCAGTCTACTTTTTGTTTCATTCTCTTATTGATTTTATTTTCTTTCTTTTTCTTTTTCCTTTTCCTTTTTATTATACCACGTTCTATGAATGAAACGATACGCATGCGGTTCGCATACTCTCATGAGTACGTGCATCTTTTAACGTCAGAGCCGAGAAACAGTTGGTAACGGCGTGGTTTTACGAAGATCGTAAAAGGGTTGCGGTGTGAAATTTACCCAACGGAATGCGCAACGAGGTAGAAAAAAAGGAGCCCGGAACATGCACTTTCGTGACTCATTACGCAAGCATAAACGCGGTCAGAATGATTCGATAATTATTCAGCGGAATTTTCTTATCTCTCATTCGCGGTAAAAAAAATTGCCGCGGCAGCAGCGCGCAAAATTTCTTACACTTGATGAAAAATTTTTATTACTTCGGTATCATGAATTATACTTATTCAATCGGAATACGAGAACAAAAGGAGCAACGTTTCTTGATATACACATTACGGAAGTATCCTCAAATTGAATTCATTATACGAAGCTTTGTCTACCATTCCTCTTCTGTTCTTCATTTCAGGCAATAAGTACTCTTTCCTTTCGGAGCCTTTTACCAGAGAAACGAGCTTGCTCCTAGATCCAACGAAATCGGACAATTTTATCAAAGCTCAAAAGATTTTCGCCCTTACGAATTTTACTCGAGAACTCTTATTCTGTCCACAAGTATACATGTATATATTTACGAGTTTCTTTTCAAACAAAAAGAAATAAAAAATAAAAAAGAGATTCGATTACTCCGTTGTAATAAAATAGTATTGCTGATATTTCCGCGGATGGCCCGCAAGAATTTTTCGCGTATTTTTCCTATTTTCGTAATAATGTGATAGAGCCCTTGTTGGAGGCTTACATAAAAAAAAAGATCTCATTTATCAATTGTATTCCAACTTGTCTCCTTAATGTTTCGCGTCATGGAAAAAAGTTAAGCGTCTTATATCTCTCTTCGGTACTTGTGCATAAGCGAAAGAAATCGCTTATGGTGAACAGATTTTTTTGCGCTTCCCTTTGTAAAAATACGTCACTCGGTAGACTTCTTAATGGTCAGAAATCTGAGCGCGCAGTACTTTAGCCCGTAGATCTTGAGCAAGGAACCTCGTCGCATCGCCTCGTTTCCTGACTTAAAGGGAGTTGTGAAGTTTCTTT